CCACTAACACGCTCTTTCATGTCTGTCTCTCTACAGTGACCATCTAGCATGTCTACTAATGTTTGCATCAGCACCAGGGTTTTTTTTTTTAAATAAATCCTTCAGAAGAAATCAGAAACATGAATCTTAAGTCTCTGTCCTCTGTCTCCCTCCCGTGGTGTGGAGCAGGACTGTAACATCCCGTACGTGGCATCACCACAGGGCGTGCCTACTTGGGCAAAGAAGAGTTCAGCTTCTTTTATTTCAGAGGTCTGAAGTTCTGCTGCCCACAACATTCACGAGTCGGACACACCCACACATACACACACCACTGTCACATCTGGAAGCATTCAAGTTCAACGTACGTCGTTCACCTCTACACACATGCACACAGACGCACATATAGTCCTGGAGTAACCATAGGAGACGGCTTCATGGCTGATCTCGATCTAGATCAGTGCTTCCTAGTCTTTTGTGAACCTACACAGCCCTTCACATCCACTCAGATATAGACACATTTTCAGCTAAATATTACTAAACAATTATTCATATTCTATTCTATGTTGAGAGTCTGCTTTCAGTATGTAATCAAAGAATGTTTGGCAAATTGAAATTAATAAATGAAATTGGAAAAAATGTGACCAATATTTCACCAAAGAGCAACGATTTAAAAAAAACACTACAAATGTGTGTGTATCATCTCAGAAGCCGTCAGATTTATCTTGTGACCCTTTGGAGAATCCTGGTTTAGGAACTCATTTAATTTTATAGAAAAACAACCTAAAACCTGAACAGCTACAACTGTAAAATGCTGCTTAATAATTGATGCATCAGATATTAACAATCAGGTGATAGTATTTCACTCACAGGAAATGAGTACTTTAATTTTATTTCATTAAGTACATGTTTATATTGATCCTTGTGGCATGATTTTTATGTTTACATTGTATTATTGATCATTTTCCTGAGTATTTCTACTACCATTGATTGTTTACCTAATTTTTTTTAAAGTGGTGAATTGGAGTAAAAATCAAACCCTTGGCACTCACTGTGAACCTCTAGACGATGCTCAGCAGCCTCTGTTCAACACACCCACACTAAACATATGGATTGACAGGTTAATTTACCAGGTAATCTGATAATCTCATCCACAGGCCTGCACTTGCAGCATTTGTCTGTTGCTTAATCTGAGCCGTGCTGCAGCTTTTATCCCCGTCAAGTTCAAACAAGTTCTTGTTGTTTCACATCTTTAAACAGTGAGGTCTGCTCCTTTCTTCTGCATCTCTGTGGGCTGCTGCTCAGAGTTTTATTTTTCAGCTGTTGAAGCTGGGGAGGGAATACGGGCTGAATGAATGAGTTTCTTTTAGACCTTCGCTTCTTCTATCCCTGCCTTGTTTCCTCCCTCAAACTGCCACCTCTCTCTCACTCCATCTCTCTGTTTCTTTCACTCTCAGTCAGACATCTGCTGTACCTGTCTGAACAGGGAGAGTCAGATTGCTGCCGGGCAGAGGAGAGAGAAAGAGGGCAGGGAAAAGAAAACAAAGAGAATCAAGTGAAGGAAAGTAGGAGGAACAAAGGCACATTTTAAGAGCACAAAAAGGACAGAGGAGTGTTAGAGACAATTTGGGAATAGACAGAGAGTCAAAGACAAATTTGTCAAGGCCCCAGGGCTTCAAATTTGCTTTCTCCCCTTTTCTGCTGGGCTGTTTTTTAACTTGCTGGGACCCGTGGCTATTTTGGTCTGTCGGAGCGGTTAGGATGGATGCCATCATGCTGCAAGAAAAACTCGTGGAGCGGCTGCTGTGCCCACGAGTGAGGACAGCCAGACAGAAGGTAAAGAGCTGGATATATAGGAAGAAACATGCAGAACGGGCAAAATTTCAAAATAAAAGGGCAGACATGGAGTTCCACATGAGTTTAGAAATGCAAAAATGAGAAGCCATCACACCTGTAGACTTGGTGCCAGCATGTTTTTATTGTTCTACATAGTGACAGGTTTACTGCTGAGATGATTTGTCTCTTCCCCAAGCCATTATGATTACTTTTATGATTTATGGGCAGCTTTCAACATCTTCACTCTCGGGCACTTTGGCAAGCGTCTGCTATACACTGATTACACCACCTGTGTGTGTGTGTGTGTGTGTGTGTGTGTGTGTGTGTGTGAGAGAGAGAGAGAATGTGTTTTTATAAATGCAATCCTGACCCCAGGGGGATTTCAGAAATGCCTTTGACAAGTTATGACAGCGTAGAAGGACGCTGACTGTGTGTTTGGCTCCTGTGTTTGCACAGTGGGAAAAAGAGCTTTTCAGGTCTGTTGAATGCAGCTTCTGTTTGTGTGTGGGCGCTCCCTGCGGGCCCTTCAGTGTGTACACATGTCAGCATGTAGTACTGCAGTGTAAAGATGGCTTTCTGTCAGATGCAGCAGAAATAAACCTGCAGGACATGTTGGGATGCTGGTGTCCTGTTGTTCCCTTTGTGTGTTTCTCAGAGCGACTCAGTGGAAAGTCTGGTTATTTACTGGTTATTCTCAGCTTCTCAAAGAGGAATACTGTGCACTTGTCTTTCTGTGCACCCCATCTGTCTGTTGTGGTCATTTTATTGCATCAGAAGCTGCCAGATTAATTTTGCCTTCACAATAAAAGTTCTCACAGCACTCTTACAGTTTAGTGTCTGCTTCTGTTTTTAACATGTTGGTTTTTGATGTATGTTTGTAGAGTTGAAACTGTTTTCCAGTTAGGCATGTGGCAGAAAATTTATTGGCCACTTCTTCGATCACTAGCTGACTGCTTAAAGGTGCATTAATGAAGATTTTTACTCATTATCTGATAACTCAAGTGAGAATGGGACAGCATGTCTCTATGTCATACTACTCCCCTCCAAGATATTATTCCAGCTTCTTTACTCTGTTGTCAAAATCATGTCCGTAAATTAGCCCCGCCTGCCACCTAGAGAAGGCTATAAGGAGCGCTTTTCAAACTGCAATAGTCATTTCAAAAAGCCAGGCATGGAGGAGATCTTAGCTGCTAAAAGCCTGAAACAGTGGCTGCCAGGCTGAAAAGTGCACATTTTTTTGCACAGAGAGAGTGGGACAAAGAGCAAAAACATCAGTTGGGCTTTTTTTAGAGGGCGAGCGTTAAGATGATTCCAGTTTTATTAAGATGTGGCATTTTTTTCTTCTGGATGCATTAGCATCTAAAGCTCGTGTTTATTATGGTAACGTTAGCGACCTGGCATTGTCGTGGTTTTGCCTTAGTATTGTATTGTGCATTAATATCGCAGCTGGTAACAGTGGAGCTACAGTAGTTTTTGTGACTTTGCAGACTCCTGGGTAGCCTGTGAATTACACCTAGGAGATAAAAAAAAATTAGACTGCTGTGTAAGAATTGTCAGAAAAATTGCTAATAAAAGCCTTGCATCAATGCCTTTCTTCTCTTTCCTTCACACGCAAGTCATTTTTACTAAACCTCTTTTTGTTTGTCTTTTTTTCTGTCCCAGGAGAAACAGTATGTGGGTTTTGCAACTCTGCCCAACCAGGTCCACAGGAAGTCTGTGAAGAAAGGCTTCGACTTTACGCTGATGGTGGCAGGTCAGTTTGAAACAAAAAGCTTGCTTGAATTATGCACATTGGAAATTTATTAGGCACACCTAGTTAATTCTAAAGGTGTTGTTAGATATACACATACTGTATGTCTGTCTGTGCTGCAGGAGAGTCTGGTATGGGTAAATCCACCCTGGTCAACAGCCTGTTTCTCACAGACCTCTACAAAGACAGGAAGTTGCTGAATGCTGAGGGTGAGTCTTCATGCTTTTTCGATCTCTCTTTATCAGTCACAGTGCGTCCACTGCTTTGTGGATATTTATTGCACAGCTCTGAGATCTGTTGTTTATGGGACATAGCCCACCGTATGTTTTACATTTCATTGTGTCACACATCTATTTGGTGTTCAGAACCAGCATAGCATAAATAAAGCACATACAGTAGAAACAGTAAACAGTCATGTCATAGGGTGCTCAGACTTGTATATATAATCTCCTATTCATTTGTTCATATTAAATAGTTCAGATAGTTTCATAGATTATTACTGTTCTTTCAAAAGGACAGGTCCTGTTTTCCATTAAATAAATTATCTATTCATTGCTTTTCCCCTTGAGGATTTGATTTGCACCAAATATCTTACAATTGCTTTTTTGCTTGTCATTTGATTTCTAACTGATTAACTGGCAACTTATTGCGCTGTTGAAAATCCTGATGCAGACTTTGGTTTAAGAGCTTTTAAATTACTTTGAGTTCAGAGTAAAATCTCTTAACTCAGTATTTAATGTCAAATGATTATCTGGCAACTGTATAAATGCATTAAAGTGTTCGTATGTCATTATTATAAAAGGCAATCAAAACTGAATTACACCATCAGGGCTGCTCTGTTGTACATTATCCCTCATTTGCTGTCTCAACTCCTTCCCTCCATGTCACTCACTTTCTTCCACTTTCTCCATGTCGCTGTTTTTCAGAGCGTATTAACCAAACTGTAGAGATCATCAAACACACTGTAGACATTGAGGAGAAAGGAGTCAAGCTCAAGCTGACCATCGTAGACACGCCGGGGTTCGGAGACGCGGTCAACAACAACGAGTGGTGAGCTGGAAGATCTGCGGGTCTGACGTGTGCCTGACTCAGCCTGATTGCTCAAATTCACAGTGCCTGGAGGAGCTGCTAATGTAGTGTGTGTGTGTGCTCTAGCTGGAAGCCAATCACAGACTACATAGATCAGCAGTTTGAGCAGTACTTCAGGGATGAGAGCGGGCTGAACAGAAAGAACATTCAGGACAACAGAGTCCACTGCTGCCTCTACTTCATCCCTCCATTTGGGCATGGGTAATAACACAGACTCACATACACACACACACGTGCTTGTTTGCAGCTCTCATGGGACCTTTACATTGACTTACATTCATCCCCTAGCTCACTACCAAAACCTTAACCATTGCAGCTAAATCCCTAACCTAAACCTCATTCCCTCAGTCTTTAACAGCCTTTGAAGTTTTGGGGACAAGCCCAAAATATCCTCACAATAATGGTACTGAAATAAAATGTGTCCACACAACTATAGAAAAACATATACCAACCCACAAACAGAGGAATACAGTTTGAGGTCAATGACGATGGCGACAGATGCTTGGAGAATCATCAACTCTTGTGATTTGACTTCAGTAACGTCCTTCTCTTTGCCGACTCTGGATTTTTCTCCACAGACTGCGACCGGTGGATGTCGAGTTCATGAAGGCTCTGCATGAAAAAGTGAACATAATTCCACTCATTGCAAAAGCCGACTGCCTCACGCCCAACGAGATAAAGAAGCTCAAAGACCGAGTGAGTCCTGGGCCTGCAGCTGCACAGTGAATTCACCATAACGTTTATTCTGATTGTTTTTTTTTGTGTGTGAATGTGCATGTGTAGATACGAGAGGAAATAGACAAGTTTGGGATCAAAGTGTACCAGTTCCCTGAATGTGACTCCGATGAGGATGAAGAGTTTAAACAACTTGATAAAGAGCTGAAGGTGAGCCCGTCTGGATAATTTATTACTTATTATATAAATAAAAGTATGCAAATTCAAATCAATGCAGAATAATAACAGTCTGCAGTTATAGGCAGCTGCCTCCTTACACCTTCAGATGTTACTCTACTGCGAAGATTTTAGAGGCCAATATACTTTGGCTCTTTGAGGAAGTGTTATGTTTGGTTTGAAATAAATGTAGCTTCAGTTTCAAATGAACTATATCTTAACATTTGTGAAGGTGAACATGTTTACATGTGTTATTAATGGCCTCAGTCGCAGACAGGGCAGAAAGTCTCACTGTCACAGCCTCTTTCTGGCTGCATGTGCCTGATTTTTCTCCAGGAGCTCTCTGTCTTTTGCCTGTCTTTTCCGTCTTGTCACCATGAATTCTGCAAAGGTGGAGATCAGTGCACACTTCAGAAAAGCTTCTACTGTAAAGTGTTGGAAGTGGAGTGTTGCCCAATGCTGAGATTCTTGCTGCTCAGTGTCCTTTTGTGAATGTGTATAAAAAAAATTAAAAAAAACATCCCACCCTCATTGTCTCTGATGTAGGAGTGCACCCCGTTCGCTGTGATTGGCAGTAACACAGTGGTGGAGGCTCGAGGGCAGAGAGTGAGAGGAAGACTGTACCCCTGGGGTATTGTGGAAGGTATGGTCATGCCTCGTATATCGGTGAACTCTCATCAGCCTGTATGAAAATTTAAACACCTTTTGTGTATTAATTTCACATTTTTTTTGCTCAGTGGAGAACCAGTCACACTGTGACTTTGTGAAGCTGAGGAACATGCTGATCCGTTCGCACATGCACGACCTCAAAGATGTCACCTGCGACGTCCACTATGAGAACTACAGAGCACAGTGTATACAGGAGATGACCAGGTACATGAGAGCAAACGAGTCTAGTGAGAAATGAGAATGTGTGAGAGGGTCAGATGTTTCATAAACATCTTAAATAACTACTGATGTTTGATTTGTCTCTTTCACTTTATATTCACCCCATTTTCTTCTTCTTCTATAAGTAAACTGGCTCAGGACAACCGCATGGAGAGTCCTCTCCCCATCCTGCCACTGTCCACTCCAGATGTGGACACTGAGAAGTTGATCAAAATGAAAGACGAGGAGGTATGAAGCAACACGAGTGTCTTGTTCTTTTAGAATATGGGTTTGTAATTGTTTATGAATGTATCTTATCTTAGTCACATGTCATGCATCTGATACAACATACAAAAATGCCAGATGTAATAAGGTTTAGTCTGCGGTCTAAATTCTTCATCCGTGACTCCATTTGAAACACTGTTAACTCTCAAAAACATCTGTTCCAGTCGGGATTTTATGCAAAAGTTTAACCCTCCAAACATTCCTCTCTGCCTGCAGCTGAAGAGGATGCAAGAGATGCTGAATAAGATGCAGCAGCAGATGCACGAGAAAGACCAGTGATGTCTCCCAGAGCGGAAATGGGTTGCGGCACCACCTGCTGTTTCTCTACTGAATGACAGTGAGACCTTCAGACATTGAAAATGGATATCATTCATTAGTGGCAACTCTGGCTGTACATTTATCTTCAGTTTGGTGCTTTGTATAGTTTGTCTGCCTGGAGGGTTGTTTTGTCAGTTCTCTGAAACTATCTGTTCGCCCACTGTGAGCCCCCATTGTGGTTTAACGGTTTTAACATATATAATATAAATGCATAATTTAAATTACTACTCAGTGTATCTAATTTATAAATGCAATGCTAAACCTTTTGGATATTTTGTCAGGGTACAGACATCTGTGCTACAAGATGTTTTATAAAGAAATTGAGGTTGTTGATGTTTAGATCTGAACATGGGTATTGTTTTTTATTACATGTTTGGCTGTGTGTGTGTGTGTGTGTGCGTGTGTGTTTGGATATGTGAGTGTATGTATTTCATGCAGTTTCTTTTGATATCATCTGGTATCCGTCCATGAAACTTCCCTTTGTCCTTGAAAAGGCACCACAGTGACTTTACATTATAATTAAAATCCAACTCTTGCTCTTTTTTATTTGCTGTCCAATACTCATAAATGCCTTCATGTGACATTTTAAACATATGGCAAGTAGAAATAACCTCTCCCAACATTTGATATGTGTTGGCTGAGCTGAAAATGCACTTATTGCCAGTAGTTAACTGTGAATGGGCAGCTGTTGACATAATGAGAGGGTTGGTGCATGTGCAAGCACGCTGCTGTTACTCATATCTGCTAAATGCTGTGGGCCTACTTTGAATGGTTCATAGCTGATTCCCTGTGCTTGTATTAAAATGCTTTATGAGCTACAGTTTGCTTTGTTGCTATTGTAGGATGGTAAAAGTAGTTAAATAACAAGGAGCAAGTTTACAGTTTATGCTTATTTTTTAAATTCTGTTTCTTGGAAGCGAGTTATGCCATTGAAGATGTGCATTCCACGAGTGAGTTAATGTTGTGTGTGTGTGTGTGTGTGTGTGCGTGTGCGTGCTGATCCTGAGGAGCAGTACATATTTTGCCTAAAGGCTGTGAGCTCAGCCTGTGCCCCGTTTCTATAAAGGTGTGACAAATAAACTCTTGTTTCTCGTCAGTCTGGCTTCACACACTTGTTTCTGTGAAGACAATGAAGTTGTTAGTTATCGTAAATTCCAGTGGGAACACCACAACATCCTCTGTCACTTCCGGAGTCTGAAGAGCCTAGCTGGAGCTGCAGCACAAACGTTATCATCCGATTCATGTTTATCTCCTGCAGTCGTTCTTCCTCTGCACTGACCACAGCATCTTTACCCTGTCGGTCAGAGCAGACACAAGCCAATGTGACATTAGTATGAACAATAGTGGAAACTAACTAATTACCTTTACTCAAGTTCTGCGTTATACACACAAATTCAAATCCAATCTACTTTGGTTTGACTGAAAGACTTTAATTAATTGGAAGTGTACCAGATCAACACCGTCTCTATTCTACTTTTACTTAGTACCATATTACTATTTTCTCTCATAAAGCATTCTAGAAAGTTGTTGGGACATTAGGGACCCATAAAGAGCTACTGAGATGCTTTCCATTTCTTGTTAAAAGTTTGTACTCATTTGTTTGTAATGCACATGCGTGTGCACAGACATCTGTGTGTTCAGCAGTGGTCTTTATCAGTGAGTGCCAGCTGGCAGTAACACACACACACTCCGTCTCAGAGTGATCGTAAAGAACACAGTCCTCTCCTGACAACAGGCAGCACTGAAGGTAAACGACTCTGCTCAAGACTATTTTGTTGTTAGCTTTCAAAATATTACTGACATTAAAACAGGGTAAATCAATGACCTCATTTCTTGCTCTCAAAATATCCCATCAAGTTGGTGTGTGAAGTTCAGTTTGACATAATCCCTATTTTCTGTTTTAAGAGCATATAAGATGCTTGAAAATGCAAAATGTTGTACTTTTAAAAATATATCAAAACAAAAATCAGAATATGGTATCTGTGTTTTGTGTCATTGGCTGTAGATTACATGGACCTGGCCAATATGTTGGCCACTACCATGTTCAAATTGCAGAGAAGAGGGTTTTTTTGTGTGTGGTAGTTTAGTAAATTGTATAATTTAAGTACTGAGCTAGTGGTGATCTAGTAACTGCCTATTTAATGGTATGAAATTGGTATGAAAGTCGGTATACATATTATGATTAAGACACTGCCAAAAGAGGTATGGTGGTATACAGAACCAGTACACTATTTGTACATTTCACAGTGTAGGGTGGCAAGAACTGTTTTCCAACCTACACACTCTAATGTGGAGTGAGTCCCGTCCACTACCACAACACCACAGTGTCTAGTAACAACAAGCCACAGAGCCGAATCAGCACCTCTCTGACATAAAGTTAAAAATTGTAGTTTGACAAAGATGTTAATTACTACAGGTCTCTTGCTGGACTGCAATATTTTCTGTTTTCTACTTAGATTCAAACAGTTCTTGAAAACCATGTAATTACATACATAAGAAGATTTATTTTTAATCTCCACAATGAAGATCAGTGTGTAGAGAATACAAGCCAGCCATCAGTTTTGAATAAAAGGGTTTATGTTTGTCCAAATTGTGGCTATGTTTTTACAAATTCGAATGTTGTGCTAGTGTTTGTGTTTACATTAAGATGAGCAATCTTTGTTGAGACCTTAAATCAACAGTAGCTTATACAGTCAAAAGCCTGACAGCAAATGTGGCAGTAGTTGCTGTAACGATAGTGTTCCTACACCATAGTAGGGTATCTGCTAAAAACAGTGACTTCAGCCATCAAGAGATTCAAAGAGCAGTGGCTGCTCATGGTGTCCTCCCCTTCCATAAATCTCTTCTCTCCTTGCCTCCCCTCTCAGTGACTGGTAACCATGAAGGGGCTTCTGCTCCTGTGTCTGCTCCTCTTGATTGGAGGTCAAAGGTCATCAGCTTGCCCCCACCTCTGCTCCTGTCATGGCGGTAAAGTAGATTGCAGCAGCAGGTTTCTCACTGTCTCCTTGCTACCCACCAGTTTCCCTGGTGGGACCACCGAGCTCCACCTCCACAACAACCAGCTGACCACCCTCCCTAATGGGTTCCTGGATGATCTGATCTCCCTCCGCTCAGTCACTCTTCATGGTAACCCCTGGGCGTGTGACTGTGGCATCCTCTACCTGCGAGCCTGGATCCTGCATCAACCCACCAGCCTTATATCACACCTGGGCATCAACTGCAGTTCCCCTCCCGGCCTGAGGGGGCGGCTTGTGGTGTACTTAACCGAGGAGGAGGTCCTGGAGACCTGCCACTACTGGTACTGTGACCTGGCTTTGGCTTCGCAGGTGTGTCTCTTTGTGTTTGTGGTGGTGCAGGCAGCTCTGCTGGTGGCTCTCATTGTGTTCCTCAGGAGGTTCGAGAGCCTGTCCAAAAAGGCACGGAGAACCACAGAGGAGAGCTTCACGGCCAGGGAGGGTCTGAGGGAGAACGAGTACAGTCCTTTAAAGGACAGCAGCAACTGAGAGGGAGCTATGATGTGTTTGACAACAAAAGAAGAGAAAGATCTGTTTGTGCTCTGGAGAGAAATGGTCAGTCACATGCTTTTGTGTCTCAGACTATAATTCATCTTTTGCACAAACAGGAGACAAGTTAAAGGAAAAACCTGAATAAATGAGTGGAGAAACAAACCCAGATGTTCTCATGCAGGGTACAAGTGGTACAATTCACACCTTACTAAGACATTTTATGATGGTGTTTCCTTTCATTTGTTGGGATTGCAAATAATCTTAAATGAAGACTGGATGAGAAATGGTTATTATTATCATTTGCTATTATGGTTATTTACATGATATTTGAATTTTTATTTCAGATGTAGTAATTTGTCGTTTTCTATTTACACATTGGGCAGTTTGTTAAAAAATAGAGAAGTTATTTTAGTTGTTCTGTTTTTTTGGAATTGTATTCTGATCTTTTAAACAAAATCCATGTGAAAGGTTTAATTAAAATGTACTCACACTGTTTGGCAATATTGTGTATTTTTTTTTAAAAATATACGTTTTATTATAAATATTATCTTATGATGCTTTAAATCAGTAAAAGCCTTTAATTGATATGCATGTTTTGGTAACATTTGTTTTAAATTGAAAGGGTCACTACATGATATTTGGATGTTTCATTGTAGATTAGCTGAAACAATATAGAGGCCATGCTCCTTTAAACTGCTCCACTATCTTAAAAAAATACAGTTGGCCATGATCAATTGTCGTTATATTGGACGAATTTGGAGAAAATTAAACGTTTTTGTTTTTTGGGGGCATATTTTGACAGTAGATTGAAATGGAGGGAGCATATGAACAAAGTTAGTGGAAAATGTAAGATAATGAACGTTATGAGATGTCTGGCAGGACTGGAATGGGGAACTGATCAGGCATAACATTATGACCATCTGTACATCTGTATGCGCTTAAATGCAACACTTATGCCTTAACATTTGTGTTTATAAAGCTCAAAATGTTTCAGTTTTTGGTGAGATTGTCATAAATGTATGAATTCAATTATATGTTGTACTGGACTACATTATATTCCCAATAGGCAGGACAAAAATATGCAGACACTTCTGAAAGACACGGGGTTAGATAAGAGGATGTAAATGTAGTCGTATAATGAGTCTTTTATACACACACACACACACACACACACACACACACACACACACATATATATATATATATCTATATATATCTATATAGATATATATAGATATATATAGATAGATAGATAGATATTCCTACGGCTCTATTATCGTAATGCACCTTAGGTTGGCTTGCAAACCGCCAATAAACACAATAGGAAGAAGTATAATGCCTAACTTTGAAAGGTGGCAGTATTGCAACACTTTGGGTGCCGGCCGCCGTTTAAAAACCACAGAAGCAGAAGATTATGACTCACCAAATAACACAAACCATTTGATGGTGTGTGCTGGGAATTGTATTTTCTGTTTATCTTTGCTCGGAACCTTTCTGACGAGCAACATTTCAGCAGCGGACAGTTTTAATGATGGACGCAGTCATGTTTACACGTGAGGCTTGTTCAGGGCTGAAAGTTCAAACCTCAAGTGCTTAACGTTACGTCTAAAATAATGTTGTTTCACCCATTAAAATAAGCAAGGTTGGTATTCGATACATTTTATAAAGGTTTAGTCGGTTGTGATGAAGTTAGCTGGTTAGCGCCTGCTACTACGTCGTTTAGCTGCTGGGGCATCAGCTTTTGCATTAGCGTTACAAGTTATCAAATGATGGTTTTGTAGACATATTTTAAAAAGTATACATTTTTTATTATACGAACTCCTAGACTTCAATTTAAAATGGGAAAACTAAGGAAGAAACACAACTGGAAGGGAAGACAGCAGAGGGACCCTCAACAACCAGCAGATGGACAGAAGACAGAAATTGTGGTGGAACTGCAAGGTATAAATCAATCAGGGGTGAAAAAGTATTAAAATGAAATACCAGAGTTTAAAAATACTTAATTGATTTATTATTGATGCATTAACATGTAAACACCATTTTATTGTATCCAATTACATTACTATATAACAATTCCTTGTGTTTTATGAGCTCATTGTAGGCTTGCAAATGAACTACACCTGCCATCTAAATGTATTGCAATAAAGAGTACAATATTTCCTTTTGAGCTTTAATAAAGTATAAAATAGCATAAAATTGCTCATTTCTCAGTTGAAGTCCCTCAAAGTGGTACTAGTTACTTCCCATCTTCATTGAAAGATATAAACCGGTCAAATCACTTGTCCTCTATTGCTACTTAAATTTATTAAGTTTGCTCCTCTGACTTCTCTGATGTATTTTTTTTTTTTTTACACCAGATGGAGTGAGGTTGAAAGGTGTAGATGAGAGCAATGCTTTGGTCCTCCCAGCCAACAAAGCCAAGAAGAAGAAAGACTCAGTGACACCTGCCTCCACCAAAAAGCTCCTCACTAAGAAGCAGAGAAAGGAACTGCAGAAAGTCCTGGAGCACAAGAAAAAGAAGGCTCAGGTGAGAGGCAGTCGGATGCTACAGGTTCAGCCAGATGTGTAACTTTAAGAAGCTTTAGCCAGAGGGCAAAATTTTAATCCACTTACTTATCTACAGTTTTAATCGCAATAGTGTTTTATTAGTGCGGAAATAAATTTTCAATTTGTGATCAGCAACAATAAGTAAGCATTCTTTGGCTTGAGGTTCTGAAATGTGAGGATCTGCTGCTTTTCTGTTTCATTTTTTTGTAAGTTGAGTGTCTTTGGGTTCTGGACTGTTACTTAGGAAAAATCAAGCAATTAAAAGATGACACCATTGGTGCTGGGAAATTGTGATGAATAGTTTTTAAGATACCTTTCGGCCATTTTATAGACTGAAATGTTAATTGCAAAAATAACTCAGTGATGAACCAATAATGAAAACAATAGTCTTGAGTACTGTTCAAAAATCATAATCATAGACTTAATAGTAAAATATTTATGCCAGACATGCCACATGTATTTCCACTACTGTGTCCTAAAAAGTATTTAGACAGCTAAGAATTGATCTGCAAAATATTTTTAGTGCTGGTTTAGTTTTGTAACCATATCAAAAACTAAAAAGTTGATGGTATGATCATGTCTGTAGTCTTTATTTATTACTTGACCATACAGTTTATGACTTAAAGGAAAATTATGCCAATTTTAGGCTCTTTATTTAGGTTTTCTACAGCTGCATGTACTTAGACAACATTTAACACTACTATTGAAAGTTGTCATACGACACACACTCCTCTCATTATTGTTATTTTTTTATTTATTTGTTTGTTTGTTTGCTGTAACTCACAAACCTATATGCCCCAACCCATTTTGTGAAGCATGATGTATACTGGATATAAATGTTTAGTCGCTCTGCCAAAACGTTTGGGCAACTGTAATACAAAAGACTACATCACAACCCATGTGTTTGGTTCCATTGTCTGTCCTGTCCAGAGAGCAGACATCCTGACCAAACTGGCTGAGGTTCAGCTGCCAGAGACTGAACTGAAGCTGCTGTACACCACGTCCAAGCTTGGAACAGGAGACAAACTTTACCAGACTAAACAGTAATTACACAACTCAGAACATCAGTTATGATTTACATAGAAGCATTATAATTGTTCTTTTCTCAGTGGTGAATGTGGGGAAGGTAGAGCTTGTCATTTTCATTGTTTGGGTCATTTTTTAGGTCACCAGATGAAATAAAAGATGGGGACCTAGGTCTAAAGATTAGCAGTATCAGTGGAGTGAACAGGAAAAGAAAATGGAAGGAAGAGGAGGAAGATGAAGAAGAGCAAAAGGCAGAAGAAAGTAGTGATCAGGACACTTCTTCTGATGATGAGGAGGAGGATGATGATGACGATGTGGATAAAACCATAGAGGTGGGAGAGGTTAAGGAAATCACCTCTGCCTGTCTGGACACTGAGGACAAACAGAAAGTGAAAGAAGAACAACAGAAAACAGAACAGGAAGGACAGAGTGAGAAGAAGACTTCAGATCAACAGAAAGTACTAATCATGAAGCCGTCACAGCCAGCTGTCTTCATTCCTGTTGACAGATCACCAAAACTACAGGTGTGTACTCACTGAATGTGTGTCTGACAGCGTAGAAACACTGAGTAAACATGGAAACTACAGGTATTCCATTCAGATTGGTGTTTTTTTTTGTGATGCTTTAAAACTACTCTACACACATTAGTTAAGTCCCAGCTCCCAGTTCCCTTAATTGCATCCACATTTCCCTCACTTGCATCTTTTCCTTGTGTTAGGACGTCCTTTTCTCTGATCCTTCATCTGACGCGTCTAATCACAGACCGATCTCCAGTAAATGAGTGTTTCAGTCTGCAAAAGACTTCCATGAAGGATGCACTCCTCCAGGGAGCCTTCTCGCTCCTCAGAGCAGTAATAAAAGCTGTGGGATATTCTTCATAATGGCAGACCAGGTTGCACAAGGGGCGAGGAACGAAAGAATAATGGAATCGGCATTCACCTAGAGTCTCATCCCATTTTTACTTGATTAGACTGTGTAAACTCTTAGTTAATGCACCTTTTTATTACCCTATTTTTGTGTATTGTGTTTTAATACTTTGTCACCCTTATGTGACTTTTTATTTTAAGACTAAGTGTTCTTTCTGGCTTTTTGCTCCTTACCTGACTCCAAAGGAGAGCTGCACAAGAATTCCTATATGTCTAGACTGTCTGTTTATGCATAAATGGCAAATAAAAATCTTGAATCTTTGAGTGTATTTGAATCTGTCGCTGTAGGAGGCTCGTTTGAAGCTGCCCATTCTGGCGGAGGAGCAGGTCATCATGGAGGCTGTGAGAGAAAACCCCTGTGTCGTCATCTGTGGAGAGACAGGAAGTGGAAAAACCACTCAGGTGCCTCAGTTTCTGTATGAGGCCGGCTATGCCAGGTAGAGTCTTCTCTTTATTCCTTTAAGGTTTCACGAGATAAAAGAAAATAAAGGTATCTATGTGGAGAGATGTTCATATGAGATATGTTGTTACCATCATCTTCCTCATTCTTGTGTCTTGCAGTGGTAGTGGGATTATTGGTATCACAGAGCCAAGAAGAGTCGCAGCTGTCAGCATGTCCCACAGAGTGGCCAAAGAGATGAACCTGTCGACACGGTAACAAAAATACACTTGCTACCATTATCCAGCTGGTTTAACTGGGGCGAGCTTGCTGCTGATGGAAATGTATGTGTTATCTATAGGGTTGTGTCATACCAGATTCGATATGAGGGAAACGTGACCAACGAGACCAAAATCAAGTTCATGACAGATGGTGTTCTACTGAAAGAGATTCAGAAGGTATCATCTTTACTCTCCACTGAGTTATTTAAAGTATAGCAAACAGGACAGATTATGACCTCCTGGTTTTCAAACTCAGCAGAGGTATATAAATATGGTTAGAAAGTCAAAAACCATAAAAGCATTTTTCAGTAACAGACTTGTTCATAATACACAGCACATCACATCTGTACGAGCCTTTTAATTGTTTTGATATCGCTGAGGTTCTTTCACCATTTCTGACTCGTCTTGAAGGATTTCCTGCTGCAGAGATACAGTGTTGTTATCATAGATGAAGCACATGAGAGGAGCGTGTACACAGACATCCTCATTGGGCTGTTGTCTCGCATCGTCCCACTCAGAAACAAGGTAAGTGACACAACTGTTGTGTTTAATGCTTAGAATTTTTAATGCCGGATTTACAGAGAAAGGTTCATTAAAATGCTGTCTCACATTTGCATGCCCCGCTCTCCACAGAAAGGCATGCCCATGAAGCTGCTGGTCATGTCAGCCACCCTGCGGGTCGAGGACTTCACAGATAATCAGAAGCTGTTTCAGACACCTCCGCCTGTCATCAAGGTGGATGCTCGCCAGTTCCCAGTCACTATCCATTTCAACAAACGCACCTCACTGGAGGATTATACCGGAGAAGCGTTTCACAAGACTTGCAAGATCCACCGTATGCTGCCTCCAGGTACACAAAGTCACATCCTAAATAAACTCAATAAAGAATTTCCATTAATAATAACCAGCATCATTATAATTCAATTAATACATCAGTGCAGTTTCATAATAAACTCATTCTATTATTTAAAATCAGTTTTTGCTCATACATGACCTGTAGGAAGATGGGCTCTCATTTAGTTTTGATTTTTATGTGTAGGTCTGTTTGTGTAAGTGTATTTTTAAGTAATGTTTTTTGAGGAGAATTAGGGGAGACTGTAAAACATTTTAGGAAGAAGGGAGACTCTTAGCTCACTGCATCGATAGCTGTGTGTGTTGAGATACTGTGGTGGGACGTAATCTGGTTAGAGCGGTTTGGGACTGGTCACAATGAGACACCCCCATGCTCATCTCATGTCTCTTTCAGGTGGTATCCTGGTGTTTCTGACCGGTCAGGCAGAGGTTCACAGTCTCTGCAGAAGACTGAGAAAAGCTTTTCCTTTCAGGAAGGGAAACACAACCACTGGTGAGTGTATCACATACCTGTTTGCCCTCTTACACTCTGACATATCTCTGAGTTTTTTTGTAGATTTACTCATCTTTGTGTGCAGGTGAAGACGAGGAAGCAGACACCTCAGAGGCAATGAGGAAGTTTAAAAAGGCCAAACAGAAGAAGACTGTTGTAGGTCTACTTTTAGTAAAACGCCTCCAAAAGACTGTAAATCTTTGTGTGTTTTTGAGTGTCATTAAGGCTGCCTCCATCCTCAACAGATATTTTTTGTGTTCATGTCTAAGAGAGTTGTTTCTCTATGCAGTCTCTGCCCCGCATTGACTTGGATAACTACTCTGCCCTGCCAGTGGATGAAGGGGATGAGGACAGGGAGGCAGGGATTGGAGATGAGGAGGATGAAGGCTCTGACCTGGACATTGGAGACAGTCCTGCTGACACAGGCAAATGAACACTCTAAGTGAATCATTCTTCAGATCCAGTTTCGTTTCTTTCAGATAAGTGTCCTTACAAACTTTGTTCTGTCTCTGTAGAAGAAAAAAAGGCTGACCCGTCCATTCCTCTCTATGTCCTCCCTCTGTACTCTCTGTTGGCCCCAGAGCAGCAGGCTAAGGTGAGATTAACATCCTGTCGCCACAAAAACAGATGAATATCATGATCTAGGAGAAGACATCGGATTGTTTTTTTTTACTAGAAAAGTGACATAAAAGGAAAAAACGATATAGTATCTGTGTGTGTGTGTGTGTGTGTGTGTGTTTGTTGACTGTAGGTGTTCAGGCCTCCTCCACCTGGTACTCGTCTGTGTGTTGTGGCCACAAATGTGGCTGAGACCTCCCTGACCATCCCTGGTATCAAGTATGTGGTTGATTGTGGCCGAGTTAAGAAACGTTTTTATGACCGAGTGACTGGAGTATCGTCCTTTAAAGTCACATGGACCTCACAGGCCTCAGCCAATCAGAGGGCAGGTAGAGCTGGGCGAACAGAGCCCGGACACTGCTACAGGTCAGGATTTTGAACCATTGTAACACTGTAATTACATAGTTGTTTTTAATCATCTCAGGGCAGACATTTAGAACTCTCCCTCTGTTCCTCTAATGTTTCTGTAGGCTGTACTCATCCGCAGTGTTTGGAGACTTCACTTTGTTCTCAGAAGCAGAGATCACTCGCAGACCTGTGGAAGACCTGGTTTTACAGATGAAGGACCTCAACATAGATAAGGTCACTGAAAATAGAACAGCTCAAACTTACCAGCTCGTTTCTCAGTGAAATTCAGTTGTATAAGAGAAAAAAGGTATTTTCATAAAAACACCTTTATATTTTCTGTTGGTGCAGGTGGTCAATTTTCCCTTCCCCACGCCTCCCTCTGCCGAGGCTCTTGTTGCAGCAGAGCAGTTATTAGTTTCACTGGGAGCTCTCAGAGAGCCGCCTTGCGCTGGAAGGTAATGGCCTGGCACTGGTTTTCCTTTTTCTGCCTTTACCAGGGTCCCTTGTGTTCTTGGATCACTTAACTACTTATTAGAAGGGTTCTTGTAATGTCTAAGGCTGTACCTAACTAAGGACTGTGCCAGTTGACTGTCAGTCAGCCCTTCAGTGTGACTATTCAACTGTATGTTCTCTTTCTTTATTTTTTAAATATATATAGAGCATAGACTGTCAGATGATCAACTGGCATGAATTTCACTGATGATTTCGATCATTTTTAAAATACAAAAGAGTGACAGGAACATATTTATGAGCATTTAAAACTCAATAAAAAAACAGCTGCATATGATACAGTAGTTAAATTGCAACCTCTTTAAATTGACAACATATAACGCACAGGGGAAGTATTGAGCAAACTGCTGCTTGGCACACCTAAATGAGGAGAAGACAACGACAAACTGCTGGGCTTGGGCTGCCTTCTACTGTAATGCACACTGGGTGACAAAAAATAAAATCAAAACAAAGACTTGACTAGATGAGTCTCAGTTAACTGATGGATTGCTCAACTAATGACTCGACTATTTGGGGACAGCCCTAGTAATGTCTGGTTTTCATTTAAATATTCATACAATGAAGCATGAAAAATGAAAGTTTATTGATTTATTTAATTTGACGTTACCTGAGATGGTATCCACTGGTGACTGTAGAACTCCTTAAGATCTTTTCCCTTTTATTGACGTTGACTGACAGTTTGTCAAACCAATGAGACTACCAGAAATGATTATTATTAAATTCTTATTATGGAAGTTAGACTTTGATCCCTTTGTGGCAGATTCTTTAAATCCTCTCATTGTCGTCATCCTCTTATTTTTATTAAAATTTTGATTGCAGTTTATCTTAGTTTACCCAGTGAGATTTGAAAAATTGCTAATTATCACGTCCCAACTTGTGAACTTTGTTTGTTATTGTCAGTGTGAAAGAGATGGAGCGAGCGCGGCTGAGCTGTCCCATCACCCCCCTGGGCAAAGCAATGGCTTCATTCCCTGTAGCACCACGTTATGCTAAAATGTTAGCACTTGGTAAGCAGCAGGATTGTCTGCCATATGTTATTGCTGTGGTAGCAACCATGACGGTCCGAGAGATCTTCGAAGACCTCGACAGGTAAGGGCACGTGTTTGCTGTAATGGTTTCTGTTGATAAACATGTTAAAAACTGGAATAGAGGCTTCCGGTGTGGCTCAGAGTTTACTCAAGAGGAGAAAAGCTCAGCAGCTTCTTGTTTCAGTAGTGCAAAAATTCACTGACTTAAGAGATGAAGCTAAAACTGAACTGACTGCTGCACTTTTCAAGCTCAGTCTTCTCAGAAACAACACTTGTTCCAAATTTCACACACTTCCCTCCTCAACCCCCCAAGCCTCTTCTCCCCTTTTACACAGGGGATGCCCCCCCCCCATGCCAGCTTGGTACCGTTTATAGAGAATAGCGTGGTGGAAAATTGCTGCAGTAATCTCTCCTTGAACAGGCTCAAATGTCTTTATTTTCATCTCTCTCCTCAGACCTGCACATAGTGGAGATGAGAGCTCCAAGCTTACTCAGCGTCGAGCTCGGCTTACCCAAATGAAGAGGCTATGGGCTGGTCAAGGAGCTTCACTCCTACTAGGGGACCTCATGGTCATGCTAGGTGAGCTTATTTTGTTCTCATTTAACTGAACTGTATTCTGTACATTGTAGGGAACTCTATTAGGTCATATGTTGGCGTTTAGAGGCCATGACATGGCTTCAGAAACGTAATTTTCTTCCAGGTTTTAACATGAAGCAGGATTTCATGGTGAACATTAACATCAGGGGGCACTTGATTTAACTGAGAATTGATGGATTGGGGTGCATAAATGGCTAGGACTACATTTTATTTGACAGAAACTTTACATACAAGATGCATTAATAAAAAACATGGACAACTTACAGGCAGAGAAAAGGCTGGGATTTTATTAAGTATGAACTGCATGTATACATGTGACTACAGGTGCCGTTGGTGCTTGTGAGTTTGCTGGCTGCACTCCTAAGTTTTGTGAGGAGAACGGCTTGAGGTTTAAAGCCATGGTGGAGATCAGGAGGCTTAGGGGACAGCTTACTAATGCAGGTACACATGTTCAGAAAACACAGAAAACCTAACACATATCTGCTACAGAACAACAGAAAATCATTTGTGTTCTCCTTTCCCAGTGAATGCAGTGTGTCCAGAAGTGGGAGTATTTGTGGATCCCAAGATGACTCCACCAACAGAGCACCAGGTGGTTTGCTTGCGGCAGATTGTTCTGGCCGGACTGGGAGATCATCTTGCACGGCGTGTGCAGAGAGAAGATATACTCGACCCAAAGTGGAAGAATGGATACAAGGTAAGCTGCACTGAGGAACATAATTATGATTTAGGAGAATGTATTGTACTGTTACTCTCCTTTACCTCCTCACTTTGATCTGTTTGTGTTCATAGACGCCTCTTATAGACGACCCAGTGTTCATTCATCCCACTTCTGCGCTGTTCAAAACACTGCCAGAGTTTGTCGTCTACCAGGAGATTATGGAGACCACCAAGATGTACATGAGAGGTAAATGAGCTTTGTGAAAAAGCCGGTAAGGTCAATAGTGTCCTGTAGTCACAGTGCTTTCTTATTGTTGACATTGAAAATTGTGAAAAAAGGGGCTTAATTGTCTTCACAGCATTTTCAGTGAGCTACTTGGTTTTCACAGAGTTAGGTGTGAGAATATTTGTTCAAGTTTTAAGATGTGTGGTGGTAAGTTAGTATAAAGTTGAGTTGAATTGTTTTGTTGCTGCTGTTACTCAAACTACCTTTGCAGAATAGTTTCACCAGGTAAATGATCTTTTTCTCTGTCAGGTGTGTCAGCAGTAGAAGGAGAGTGGATCCCTCAGCTTCTGCCTCAGTACTGTCATTTTGGCTCCCCTCTGGAGTCACCGTCACCCTGGTTCTGCTCATCCACTGGCACTGTCAGATGTCACCGTTCAAGCACCTTCTGTGAGTTCTCTACAGCTCAGCTGTCTTTTTGCTGAATGGCAGCTCTGCCTACATTTAAGCTATTTCTCTATCTTCTCCTGCAGTCCGTGTGGGCTGGCAGCTGCCTGCTGTGGAGATGGAGTATCCAGCTAGCTTGGAGCGTTACAAACTGTTTGCCCGTTTTCTTCTTGAAGGACAGGTATTGCAACAAAACTTTAAAGTTTTCCATTTCTGTTAAGCTTTTTCTCAGGTTTCAGCCTAATTACTGGTTAGCCTGCTCCCCTTATTGTTCATTTTGATCCCCAGTGGTTTTTATCTTGCCTGGGGTTCATATTAAAATATATGGTATAATCAATAAATATTTACACTTAACACTAAATCAGACATTTACATTATCACCACTACATCCAACTCAATAAAATTAGATCAAAATCAACTAATATTGACAAAAATAAACAGTATAAATCTGATCAACTCCAAAACTTAGTCAACATCAAAAAGTTTAAATTAAGTATAATGTCTTAGTGATGTTAACCAGTCTATATAGTTTGTCTGAACAACCTTAGTATGTGCAATTTCATCTACATTGTCCATTTTGTGTTGTCCCAAAAATGATGCATTTAAAATAATTATTATTTTATATTTTTATATAGGGAAAAAATCCATCATATGAATAAACTTTAAGACACCTAAACTTTGCAAAAAAGATGCTTTCATTTGACCAAACCTGACAGGAACACATATTGCGTCATATTGTTTACAGGTTTGTCCTAAACTAAAGAAAAATAGTGGCCACCTTCTGTCAAACCCCTCCATCATGCTGAAAACATGGGCAAAGTAAGTAAACACTTTTTCACACTGCTCTGCCCTGTTTGAGGACTTTTTTTTCAGTAAACCAATTGATTTGTTTCAAGGAAGGACTTTTATCTTACTCTTGTGCCTTCGTTGCTTTAGGCTGCAGCCCAGGACAGAGGCAGTGCTGGGAGCACTAGTGTCAAAAAGAATTGACTGCCGAGATGACCTCCTCACTGTCTGGAAGACCGAAGATAAATGTAAGGACTTCATTTGCTATCACTTATCTGAATTTGATTTAATTTGCTTTTTTAAAATGAGCTAATCATGTCGTTTTCTCCTGTAATTTTCTCCCCTTTCAGTCCTGTTGTCTGCATATTGCCAGTGGTTACCTGAGTCCATGCATCAACAAGTAGCCAAAAGCTGGCCCCCTGTATAAAAGCTTGCATTTGAAGAGCATAAACTGTGTTATGTACTTTTGAGCAGTGAAAAGGCTTCTTCAGACTCTGATGATTGTTTTCAATGATCTCTCAAAGTGCAACTGCCACCACACAACATGGTCTTTTCACTCATCTGTATTTTTACACTTGTCTATGATTTGTACAGTTTTGTCAGGCAAACAGTACTTCAAATAGAGGTCCGTCATGACTATCAACTTGTTTTTCAATGTGTTACTGTTAGTTATATATGTCTGATTTGGTCTTCATAAGACTTATTAAAACTGTAGCTCTGAGTATGGATGGTGTGATTTATTCATATTTTGTGCAAATGGTGGTTAGTTTACTAACCATCAACCAAATGGTTGTTATTTTTGACCCTGGCTTTATGTTGGGGGCCGTTTGGGACCAATAAGATGTCTCCCTGATAGTATTTCGTGATGACCATATAATATAGGAAGTATATAGTATTTTTGCACAGTATTGTACATATAGTATATTTCTTGTCAGTCCTACAGGTTCATGGGTGCAACTGTTGTGGGTAAAAGGTAAAAAAAAAATCATTTAGAAATGGAGAATTCTGTACAAATTTGCAGGGAACGTTTAGAGATGGCAAAACTATTTTTTCAAAGTACTGCTGTGATAGGCTAGTCGTGTCGTCATTTCCTCTTGTCAGCCGGTACACTTCCGGAAGAAGCGGAAGACAACAGTGGAAATTAATAGCTCACGATATTTTTTGCATAAGAAAACTGAAATTTTAATTTGAGCCTTTTGACAACCAAAGACCTGCGTTGTCGACATGGTGAGTAGCACTCTGTTATTATCCATCGCCCGCGACAAATTTGTATCAAAACAAGTTGTACTTGAAGGATTTAAGCTAGCAAGCGGCTAACAACAACTCGACGACAGGAGCAGAAATTACATTTATGCCCTGTCATGATGAAACTGAAGTCCTACAAACTCACGTATATGTATTGATGCTATGTCTTTTTATTAAACGGAACTGGTTTATTTCACAGTTTTCCTTCCACGTATTTGACCACCCGTTGACAAGAGGGTTTCAGAACCGCTTCTCCACTCAGTATCGCTGCTATTCAGTGTCCATGCTGGCAGGTCCCAATGATCGCTCCGACGTGGAGAAGGGAGGCAAAAGTGAGTATTGTTGTCATTAAATATGCCTGTACGTCATTCTTTCGTGCACTGCCAGCTAAACGGCTTGAAAAGTTTTACTGACTCTTTCTTTTATTGCATATACTGTTACCGGAACTAAAAAATGGCAAACTTGATTCTTTAGTTCACAATGCTTTTCCCATTTTGCAGCAGTCCAGTCCTAATGCCTCTTTGTCCCAGTCAAACCCTTTAACCCTGTTTTCCTGCAGTTGCCCACCCCCACATACTGTACTTACTTACTCACTTAAATGTCTACAAGAAAATCGAGTTAAGAGCGCATATGATGATAATATTACTTGCCAATGAATCGTCTGTGCTTTCTAGTGTTTTGTCTGTTCAGTTGTATCTGTCCTTTTGTCTGTTAAATGTACAAGCTAAATATCTAATTACATTAATCAAGGTGTCATTTTCTAAGTATATCTAGCCCTTTCATAATAAAATAAAAAGTCACAAATAATTAACATTAACTCAACCTCATGTGTTCAAAAACTTTCACCTGGCAGATAAGGTGTTCACATGGTCTTGTTTGTTGTTAACGTATCCACTTCTTTTTTTTCAGTAATAATGCCACCTTCAGCTCTTGACCAGCTCAGTAAGTGCAAATTAAATCAAGCACCTCTTCAGTATAAAGGTTTTCTATGAACCTTCCATGATTGTTATCCTTCTCATCATTTCCCCTGTGCAGGCAGGCTTAACATCACCTATCCGATGCTGTTCAAACTGACCAACAAGAACTCAGACAGAATGACACACTGTGGTGTTCTGGAGTTTGTTGCAGATGAGGGAATCTGTTACCTGCCCCACTGGGTGAGAAACAGTAACAACTTTAATATCGGTGTCATTGAGATTTAACTGTGCTCTCACCACAGTGATGAAGTACTAAAGTAATTTTCTGAAGTAGAAAGTAGAAAGATATTTATGTATACTGTGTTGATATTTTAAAAACTATGAATAAAAGGAAAATGTAGTTATAAATGTAGTAATAAGAAACTTGGATTAACCTCTAGAGTCCTGAGCTTTGGAAACCCAAGCTGTGCGGTCCTCATATGAGGACGCAGGGACTCTAGAGGTTAAGTATAACTGAGCTAATAGAGGTTTGGAAGAAGATGGAGGTGATTAAGAATTCCGAGTGACTGATAAGACTAAGACTAACTACATGTTTCTTGTTGTGTATGAAATTTTAAAGCCACTTTGTAAGTATTAGTCAGACCACTGCTGATAATTTGCTTTATTTTGTTTTCTGCAGATGATGCAGAATCTCCTGCTAGAGGAAGGTGGTCTGGTCCAAGTGGAAAGTGTTAACCTTATGGTGGCCACTTACTCAAAGTTCCAGCCACAGAGCCCCGACTTCCTGGACATTACGAACCCAAAGGCAGTGTAAGAAATATCAATCAGGAACATTAATTGCATCCTTTTCACATTTCATGTTTAACTAAGGTATTAATTTGTCACTTTGTCACAGACTGGAGAATGCACTGAGAAACTTTGCCTGTCTGACAACTGGTGATGTCATAGCTATCAACTACAATGAAAAGGTAAATAAGTTTATTCAAATGAGTGTTTAACTATTAGTGTTTTTGGTTTTATTTTTGTCCTGAATACCACTGCAAATGTGTGTTTGTTTCAGATATATGAGCTGCGAGTAATGGAGACCAAGCCGGATAAAGCTGTATCCATCATTGAGTGTGATATGAATGTGAGCGCCTCTGTTTTATCACAGACAACAGTAAATTATTCTCCTTCTTTTTAATTAATTGGAATTAATTATGTCTTGCACCTCTGTTTCTCAGGTGGATTTCGATGCTCCTTTGGGTTACAAAGAACCTGAACGACGAGCTCAGCACCAGGAAGAACCAGCGGTGAGGGCCAAACCCTAAAGTTACCTGTGCATGTTGTGCTCTGAACAATTTGATAAAAATCACTTCTTCACAGGAGGAAGAAGCAGATCCCAGCGATTATGCTGACATGGACACAGGATTCAGAGTGAGTACATGTCAGAGACAAACAAAGCAAATAATAATTGGAGGTGATGTAACTTCTAATATGTTTCTGATCCCCAGGCTTTTACTGGCTCTGGTAATCGTTTGGATGGTAAAACAAAAGGGATTGAGCCCAGCCCTGCCCCTCTTGCCCCAAGCGACATCAAAAGGTGACTAGCCTAAAAATTAAATATTGTAATACAGTGATTTATCTACAAGACTATAAGGTGCTGAGATTTTGGTTTTTTATGCCTTTATTAGACAGTAAGCAATAGAGAGTGGACTAAATCTTCTATAGGTTTGGCTGTAGGTAGGATGGTTAGCTGAATTCGGACTTTCTGTACAATATGACGTGGACACCATTCCAACATTCCATCTCAGGATTTCTCCCGCTTGTTGCTCACTCGTGTCCCCATGTTGTTTTATTGTGGTGTCACATGATACGTTCCTCGAATCTTTTGTCACACAGAGGCATTCCCAACTACGAGTTTAAAGTTGGAAGGATCACCTTCATCAGAAACTCGAGGCCCCAGGCCAAGAAAACTACAGACGATGTAAGAAATGTGATGACTTTATCAGATGTTTTAACTTTTTGACTTTGCTGTGCTGGTAGTATTAAGTAACCAGTAAAGTTTCAGCTTCTTGCTCAGTACAACCCCTTTCCATAGCACTTACTACTATTTAATAGATGTATTGTATAATTTAAATATTTATATTGAATTCTTGACATCAATTTCCTTTTTTTTTTTTTTTAGAGCTCAGGCTTTTATTTTCGGTTATACCTACTTTTAAATTTCTTGTAATTTTCTCAGGATGATGCCATGAACAGATTCATTGCCTTCTCTGGACAAGGACAGTCACTACGCAAGAAGGGCAGAAAGCCTTAAAGTATTGCAGGTGGAGAGACTGGATAAAGTGCACAGGCCCACCATATCTATTATCACCTTCAACAGCAAAGTAAAACAACTGGCCTTGAGATGGTTTTGTGTCTATGTCACTTTGGAAATGGAGGTTTTGCTGTTGAATAAGGATTATAGTATGTAATTAAAAATCTGAGTAGTATTTTTCTCAGCAGAATCTGAACTGCATAAAATACTCAGATGTATTCACAAGTCCTGGGTGGCTAATTTGAGCCAGGCATAGCAGATTATATCATCACACCACCAACACCAAGATTAATTTGTGAAATATGGTTGTAATACATATTTGAATTACCATGGACTTAGAGCATTTTCCCCTATTTTTCATAATTGTTGAATTTTTCCAGTTCACTTTATATATATATTGCTATCTAGAATCCCAGTCTTATGATAAATGGGAGCGATGGCTCTCTCTATGCTTTAAATAAATTTAATGCTGTTAATTTTTTTTTTCTGAATTATATAAATGATGAGCAAGTTCCTTTTTTCTCTTTTTCCTGGTTTATTTATAGACAAATAAAGGACGGTGTTTTGACACTGGCCGGGGCTAATAATTTTGGGATTTTTCTTGACTTCAGTTAAAAACATTTATTTTGGAATAAGTGGATGATTATTCATTGGATGTCTAGCTCAAATTAGACAATGTATGGCATGGAAAGAAGTTATAAGTAAGCAATTGCTACCTTATTATAAAATCAACAGAAATAAGAAATCTCCATATTTGTCTAAAAACAGACTCTATTGTGGGATGTTGGGGGGTGTACTTACCTTCATTGGTACACACTCCTATTGTTTATTTGCTGGTCAACCATTTGAACCCAAGTGAGGATTTTCACAATAACTGCTGTAGAACGGTGTGGTGGCGCTTTTGTTGTGAAAAGAAATTGAACCGGAAGTGTTCCCGTTTAAGCTAGCACAACTAATGTTAACCATGGATCGGTCTGGACAGAAACTATGGCGGGTAAGTTATTTCTAATAATTATGTTGCTCACAAAATATCCTTGTTTTAATTTTATCTGCCTTGTTCTTGAAATTCCTAATGAATAGTGAAGACTGTCAAATGTGATTTTAAAGTTAGCAGGGTGCTTGGCTATCGATACATTACCAAAGTCACCTCAGCTAGCTAGCAGTAAGCAATGTCAGACATGCCAGGAGGTTTTAACAGAAACCTTGGGTTATATGTCCGATTCACTGTTTGCTTTGAAATGTAGCTTTAATTATCACGTAAAAACGAACTACACGTAAACAGGGATAAGTTTATTGTAACGCTAGACCAGCGACTGAGCAAACTGTTTTAACAGCAACCACAGGGAGGCGCTGTCAGATATGTTTTTGTCGTTCTCTATTTAGGAATAAGTGTGAACCGTTATATTTAAAAGCATCTAAAACTATAGTGCTTGTTTTATGTCTTATTGTTACCAGATGATGTATTAATTCGGATAAACCTGTAAACCAAAAGTATTAAATAAGACATGGTGAAAGAAATGTCAGTAATGGAAATTTCAAAACAGCTCATTGGTGTGAAACTATTTAATGCTGCTGCTTTTCGCAATAATTGAGTTAATTTCATTCACTTTTAATATAATTGCAGGACTTTTGTTTCAGAATGGCCTGTTCACAATGCAGTTTTCCAAAGATAGTTTTGTTGAATATTTTCTTTTATATCTAATGATTATTTAATTGTCATTCATTACACCCACTTGAATGATGTTAGAATCTCATTCCCACTAAAGTACAAACTATAACAAGCAGAACAAGTTAAACACTCCGAAGCCTTATCCTTAATATGTTCTAAAAGAATATCCTGATGCTCTTATGACATTAAGTGTAACGAGGGAAGTGGAAAAGATGCAGTCATTCACAAGAAACAAAACTGATTAAGATTAAAATATAACTTGTATAAGTTATAGATCAGTGATTTATTCCTGCATTTGTCCATTTAAACAGCCACCCAGGGCATGTGATGACTATTGGAGTGAGTTCAGACACTGCAAAAGCTTGTGGAACCGTTTCCACCACTACTACACCCATGGTACCTCCCCATCCTGCCAGCAGTGGAAAGAGGACTACCGTAACTGCAGAGAGTGGGAGAAGCGCAAAAGCACAGAAGCAAAGGTACTGTACACCGGTGTGAAGTTGTTGATTAGACCTGAACCTTGGATTTTTCTGACACAGTACAAACAACTGCAATGACTTAGTTTGTAAATAGGACCTTTTAAAATAGCTTTAAAAATATGCAAATATTGCAGTTTTGTGATGCTTTGCCTGAGAAATTTTGTTTTTAAAAGGTGTTGAACTATCTTCATTTTATATTTATGAAAATACAAAACCATCTGGTATATGTCAGTTTTATTCTAAATACATTAGCTGTGTCAAAAATGCAAATTTTCAAAGTATTAGTTGTGATTACTGCCATCATTATTGCCCACCAAGACCTGAAATGGTAACATTTTTGATTGTGACACCACTCAGAAGGGCTGGGTATTAATTGCACCCACACTTATTTGTCATACAGTAGCTTATTCTGACAGGCCAAAGAAACAAACTGTATAGGGAATACAAACAAACAGTTTCTTGCTTTTAATCACATTTCCACATTCAGAATTCATTGTACTGTCAAATGATAAAATGTTGTCTTCTACCGATTAATGTTTAAGACCACCTTGGATTTGGTACAAATTGTTTCTTTCATCAGCTCTGCTCCTCACACTTTCAAATGCTTATGGCTTCATTTGCTTGTATGAAAATTCATATATTTTTTCTATATGTGTATATACATATTGTAGGAAGCGTTGCAGAGAAGTGAAAGAAACAGAGTGGCAGAGCAGACAAAGTTCACCCCAGTTTGGAAACTGAGGCAATACCCTCCCAGAGACTGGAACATGCCCCTGAACCAGGACAAGCCTCAGGACTCTTGAACAATAACAGTGAACCTGCTGTTAAAGCAAAGTAAAGTGAACATCCACCATATGCTGCATTTCATTTCATGGACAAAATCCTTTACAGCTACATGCTGGCCATTACTGACAGCTGCTATATATAAACATATGTACTGTATTGTTTTGGTGGCATTTAGTGGCCAGGATGATTTGGATTGGGTCAGTTAAAAAAACTGCATTTTCAGTTTTCCTTCATTATGTTTTATGCAGAGGTGTGACGGTTTTATACAGAGGTGTGAATGTGGAAACAATTCAATGCAGAACTTCCATGAATTGTTACATGTGATACATAAATTAACTCGGGGGACTGTAAGCCTCCTACTCTTGATGGCAATTCAAGAAAACAAAATAAAAAACCAAACCTGTACAGTGTACTTCCCATCTACACCAGCTCTTGATGACTGTATCTTGGCTTATTGAATGACGTAGAGGCAGTGACACACACACACAAAAAATACACCCAGGCTGCCCTCATAACCGTTTGTGTCCATTACTGTGTGTAAACTTTAGTGATGTCATTGAATTTTCCATCAGGAGCTTCATAATCTGTCTTGGGTGGTGTGTAGGCAGGACCTTCATGAGTGAAGGGAAACAGAAGGGGGTCTTGCATTAGTGCTGCCTGGTACAGCTCCTCAGACTCCAGCTTCAGCTCCTCCAGTGCCTCCCTCTGTGCTTTCAAAGCAAGTTCAATAGCCTGCACTTCAGCCATGTGCTGCTTCTGCACAAAGACAAATGATCAAAAAGTGCACTAAGTATACATGAGAGAGAGCAGATATCAGAAGCAACATTTTCTCTAAAAGCTTTAGTGATGGCGGTGCGACAGGTAAATGGTGACCTTTTTGTATCGACTCCACTCCTTCAGCAGCAGGGCTCGACCCTCACTTTCTTCAAATGACAGCTTTGGTGTAGAGCGTTCCCTTTGTAAGAGAATAATAAACACTAATTTGTACCATGTCAAAGCCAGTGAGGAAAGAACAAAGGCAAAGTATGTCAAAGAAAGCCAAATGATTCATGAAAGCATGGCCATAATATATTAAAATGAGTCATTTTAATGTTGAGTAAGCTGTGGCTTGTCTTGTGGTGTTGTTTGGTAGTCTTAATATCAAACAGCCAACAGAGATCTTCCTGTGATGTTGTTCAACTGGGGTTGTCATAGTTTAATGCCAAATCCATCCTTACAACTACTGTATGTCCTGTAAGGAATCAATACAATTTTTAAACGTGACTACAGAACAACTCAGATGAAGCCATCTTTTTATTCTAAGAACCCTCAAGAAATTGATTTTCACATATCAGATTGAAATGCAACTCATGAGTGGTTTGAACTCTGAGACTTAAAGGATAAGGCCGGTAATTTTCTATATTAACAGTATTTTCAACACTCCCCATACAGAGATTAAAACCAACAATGAATTGCCTCTACTCATGTCAGTGTGTCAGTCCTGGGTCGGCTTATTCATCTGTGCCACAGACCTATATTGTTGTTCAAAAAAAGATTAAATATACGTCAAGAAAACACAGTGTTGCGCCAAGTGATATATTTCTTCATTAGCAAACACCAGACCGGAGTGTGATGGGCTAGTGGACTGTAAACAAAGCACAGAGCCTGTGCAAGGTCTCACACATGTGCAGTTAACTCTGACTCATGTTAACTTCAGGAAATTATGGCCGCATGGAGCCTTTGGGGCAACATAGTTGGGTCTGGGGTTTTTTTAATGAAAAAACACGTTACCCAATGTAATAGTTGTGTTTTCCTTATGTGTTTTTAATCATTTTTTAACAATAACACATCTGTCACACAGATGAAGAAGCTAAAACAGTAATGGTAGCTGACAGACATTAACAGTGAGAAGAGGCAATTCATTGTCAATTGTAGTCTCTGTATAGAGATTAATGAAAATACTATTAATATAGAAAATCACCGACCTTATCTTTTAAGTCTATGGCGAACAGATGCAGATTAATTCTGGTTGCTGAGTTTAGATTTCCTGCTCTCCATTGGCTGCATAGCCCAATGCTAACCACAGATCCAGTGGGCAGAACCATCAAAAATGAGACCTTCCTTGGATTAATACTACTGCTAATTTTATCTGGTGCAACAGGAGCTTGACACAGACTCTGGACATTGCTAAAAGATGAGGAGTAATAACATATCTTTTCCTTCATCTTGCTTAAAACTGGCATTTTGCTTTATATACATGAAAGATAAGAGATATGGCTGGCATTTTTCTATATTTTCCTTAACATGAAAAAAAAAATTCCATGAAAAGGCCAAAGCCAACATGTCACCCTTGCCATTGTTCACTGATGTATTTTCAGTAGTTTAATACTTCTGATAAGCTACATGAGGCTTTGGATTCAGAGGCAGTAATTTGTTGATGTTAGGTTTTTTCAGAACATTTGTTGACAATAAAACGAATATTGAATAATGCTAGACTCGGTCTACATGGATGTTACAATACCCAGCAACGCAGACATGTTAACAACACCTCAACACATATCGAACCTGATCACTTGTGAGTGACAGTGTGGACAGCAGTGAAGTGAGCTGTACCTTGTTTCATCAAGGCATTTAGCTGGAGTGATGAAGTCCTCTATGGGGATAAACTGAGAAGGAACCTTCTCCAGCTTCTTCAGCCTTTTTTTCAATCTCTCTCTCAATTGCAGCTCCCTTCTTGGATCTGCTTTCTTCTTCTTTTTGGGCTCCGCTCTTATCAAACACAAAGCATAGCTCTAGGTAAGCATGTTTAATCACAAGATGCATTTTGACACAGATCAGATGGATAGATAGATACTGACACTGTCACTTAAGATACTGTCTCTGACACTGTCACTTAAGATACTGTCTGGGACTGTGGTTATCAAAATGATTTAAAAATGAACAACCTCAGATTACTTTCCCCAGTATACTCACCAATGTGATTTTATCACTAATTGTCTAATTCTGTTTCTGAGCATTTCTTGCTAAGAATAAATATCAGCTGTACAGTCTGAATTAAAAAAAAAAAATCATACCTGTGGCAGAATGCATTTAATAGAGTTGGGGTCTAACAGGCTTTTCCTTTTTTATTAAAGTCTTATTCTTTTTGATACACCATGTCAATAGCTGATTTCAGACATGCCTCTGTGTCGCCTTATTTCTGAAATGTTGCATATTTTCCGCTTTGAACTCTGAAATCTCAGAATTGACACAGTGGTAAGCTTGTTTAAGAAAGGGGGGCATGACAACTGTCAAGGTTCAAGAGTTTGTATTTAATCAGTTGGCTTTCTGTAAACAGTGGTGAAAGTTGTCTGATTGGATGTTGACAAAGTCTCATCCAGGAAAATTATAAAGTCCAAACCTTTTTCTAAAGAAAGTTTTATGGAATGAAGTTGACAATTGAAATAGTCAAAAGAAAGTAAACAGGTTTCCTCTTTTGCTGACCAAATCATAAAACTGTCATCTATAAATCTGACACAGTACATATTGTACTATACGTGTATAATCACTATGAATGAAATCATTCTCAAGCTTGCTCATAAAGAGACAATATGCACAGCCTGAAATGGATCCCATTGCAGAGCAGTATTGCTACATGTGATATTCAATTGTCTTTTGTAAGTAATTTGATTTCTTGTCACTAAGTGTGACACTCTTGTGATCACTGGTCAAGGTAACCACCAATTCTTATGAGCACATAGATAAGATAGGGCCACTAGACTGGCATTTTAAAATGCTGGATATTAGATAATGCTTTGTTGTGCATATTGTCCAACAAATCTGCAATAAATATATATAAAATTTATTTGACATGCAATAAACGTGGGACTGAGTATTGAGTAGAGTACATGGCACAATTACTGTTCTTCCTCTCTATTGTTTAAGTATGTGAAATAAAAGAAACAGTGGATTAACATTTGAAGAAAAGCTAATTTTGATTTCTGTTTTTGCAGGGCTCGTGTTAAATCTTTTCACTTTAAACATAAAAAATGTAACTTGTAGTCAAATCTTTGCATACAACTGTATAATTCACCGTACCTCAGTGGAGCAGATGTCTTCAGGGTCATCACTGGCGCAAACCAAGGACTCAATACAATATGGTGATGTTCTCTCGGCAGGAAGCTGAGCGACAACAAACAGAATACAGATCAAAACATGCCACCTATAGGAAACGTGCGTGAACGCGGGGGTATCTGTCAACCATAGAAATTATTCAACAGCACTCCCCCACTGATTAACCTTAGCTAAGTTAGCTCCTGGTAGCTACCGCCTTAGTGAGATAGTTCACATCTTAACCTATTACCGACACTTACCTTGACGGAGCAGTCTGTCGGAATAACATCCTGCAGAAACAGTGCGATAAAGCCAGAGACATGTTTTTGGTGTGAGTTGTTTCACTTCAAACTCACAACCGTGGTCAGAATAACAAAAATGTTCACATGCAGCTACCCATCACTTTGCCTATCTCATTACTTGCGCGACGGATCCAGACCAGCCGTGGAGCAGGAAGATGACGTTGCAAATGTTAAAGACGGCCGCACTTTCGAGTATTTTCCTTGCATTAAAAATTAAACATGGTTTAAATATGGCCATGTTATAAATACAATCAATAATAAAATATGCAATATTCAGGATATATATATATGTGTGATTCATTATCCATCTCGAAATTTGAATTTATAGTTAACACTTTTGTCGAATCTTACTACAGGAGAGAAAAGTTAGCTGATTTTGCTGATGTAGGGGAAAGGTCGACGCTAGCTCAGGCTTCATATTCACCACAGAGTATGTCAGAGTGCCACAGTTAACATATTCGTGTCGAGGTTTGAACTTGAAAGTGGTGGATTATTGAATCAGCATCATGGCACTTCTCAGAGGTAAACAAACACGTTGCAATTCATCAGGAAGCCAAGAAAGGCAGGCATAAGTTAACGTTACATGCTGCTGGACGGTAGATTTGGAAATTTGTTATTAACGTAGGAGTGTATTATTATGAATGACCTCAAATAATTGCTTTCACTGTAAAATCGACTTTATTTAAATTCTAATGTGAGGAAACCGTGAAACTTGTGCTAAGCATAACGTTGCTGCAATGTAGGGGCAAGGTGACAAGCTGGTGCCAAGATTATTGCGTTAACTTAACCTGGAATTTATCGGTCGCAGCAGCCCCTTTCTGTGGTAATATATGTTTAAAAAAAGTTTATAATTGATAAATAGACATTTTCTCTATATGTTCTTAGAAACTTTAGGACAGCAGCGGTCCTTCTGCTGCACCCACTTAGAAACTAAGTTTTGTACTGCGAAAATCAAGAACTGTTTGTGGTTTCATTCGTTATGATCTGACTTTATATATGAAGGTAGCTTATGATTTTTGATATTCACAAGCGTCATACAAGACAGGTAGATTGAGATTTTTTTTTATCAACAGATTATCTTCCATGGCAAATATTTTGTATGCCAATCCTAGTTTGAAAATTATACCCATATGTACTTTAATGTAAAGGCTGCTTCCTCATCGCATAACATACTTGAATATACAGTACATGAACAGTCTTCACAATATAGATTATGTGCTGAGCTGTATTACTCTGTTTCATAATTTTACCACCTTTTTTGTTTATATGTTTACTCTTTTTGACATTTGGCAGTACCACTGCTTAAAGCTTAAAATGTTTGGAGTCTTACTTTTAAATGTCATAGGTTACAGATTAGTACTTTTAAAGTGTAATATGTAATGTAAATACTTTAGTTACTTTATCAAAGTAGTGTAACGTTATTACTTATTACTTGAACTGCTTTTTGATTACTTCTCTAAAAATGTTTTAACATGGGCAATAAAGCTGAAAGGTCCTAACATAAATTTAAACCAGGACAGAGGTTAGTCAGGAGTTCCATGCCTGACTGGAAACTAGGCAAATCAATACAATATTTCAAGGTAGAGATCATACCTACTAGCTACTTATTTTGAAAGTTAAAAAAACCTTGATAGCTCCATATTCCCTGAAGAGAAATACTACTGGGAAAGAGGTTTACTCTGGTTGTTTCTCTTGTCCCTCAAATCAGTTTAATGTTAGTTTCCCCATTGTACTGTATCCTTATCATCTTCATCTGTTGTGTCAACCATCTTTGCAGTATGTACCATCCCAGTACTTCTTCACCCTGTTATCTAGCCGTGGCTAAGTGCTGGGTCATGTAACTTTTGTGTTGCTGTACTAAAATGCTCCTTTTCTCTACAGGTGTATTTATTGTAGCTGGAAAGCGCACTCCATTTGGAACCTATGGAGGAGTGCTGAAGGATCACAGTGCTACAGACTTGGCTGAGCATGCAGCCAAAGCTGCCCTGGCTGCAGGGGGTGTGGCACCAGAACTTGTAAACAGTGTCATCGTGGGAAATGTCATGCAGGTATAGTCACATTGAACAGACTGATTGTAAGGACCATTGCATGAAAAAGCTTATTTAGGATACCTTTTCTCTTTCTGTCTGTCCCTCTAATTTCAGAGCTCAGGTGATGCAGCCTACATTGCTCGTCATGTGGGCCTGAGGTGTGGTGTTCCTATCCCAGTGCCTGCGCTCACTGTGAACAGGCTGTGCGGATCTGGTTTCCAGGCCATCATCAGTGGTGCTCATGTAAGCACTCCACCAAGATCAAAAAACATTCTGAGGTGTTGTTCTGCTATGTTTTAGCATTTAGGACATAGTTATTGGACTGCATTACATCAAGTTGTTTCTAATATTCTGACCCCCTCATGAATGTTAATGGGAAAGACAAAAATTTGAAACACCTGTCTATATAATGTTGTCTGTTGCCTTTAGCTGTGGCCTCAATAAGAAGCATATAATTGAATTTACACATTTCTGACGGTGTCACCAAGATCTCAACATTATTAGCTTTGAAATGTGTTAGATTGTAGAGGTGTACCTAATAAAGTGGCTACTGAGTGTACATGTGTAAAAGACTGGAGCTATGTCACAGAGAGCATGGTCCATACAGTAGTAAAAATAAGATTTTTCACATTTGTCAACTGAACATAATGTGATTTACCTTTTTGTCTTGTTGATCCAAACTAAAACTTGTTACCTTGTGTGTTTGTAGGAGATTTGCCTGAAGGAGTCAGAGGTGGTCCTGTGCGGAGGATCAGAGAGTATGAGCCAGGCCCCGTATGCTGTTCGCAATGTTCGATTTGGTACAAAGTTTGGAGTTGATCTCAAGGTTGGCTTTTGGTTGATTGTTTCTACTCCCTGTGATGCTCACAAAGACAACTTTTTAAACCACAGAAGCCTTGACACACAAAATTTAAATTCTCATTCGTCTGACAGCTTGAGGATACTTTGTGGGCAGGTCTGACGGACCTGCACGTCAAACTCCCAATGGGAATCACAGCAGAAAACCTGGCAGAGAAATACCAGATCACACGAGAAGACTGTGACAACTATGCATACCAGACGCAACAAAGGTGGAAGACAGGTAGGACAGTTTATTTTTTGATAGATTTTCTGTTGATGGGAACCTCACCTTACTAATAACATTGAAATATTTTTTATTTTTTTTGTGAAGAGGTATTGTAGTGATCAAGAAGTTTCTGCTCAAGACAAGCCCATTCTTAATAATTAAATAATTTTTTTTTCCTATTTACAGCTCATGATGCTGGTTACTTCACAGCAGAAATTGCTCCCATTGAGGTGAAAGCTAAGAAAGGCAAGGTGTCCATGGCTCAGGATGAACACCCTCGCCCCCAGACCACAGTAGAACAAATGGCCAAACTGCCTACAGTCTTCAAAAAGGGAGGGACTGTTACTGCTGCCAATGCTTCGGTGAGTTTAGGCCCAAGGTGTTCTGCTTTACTTCAAACACTGTAGATGAGATCTTATATCATTATATTTAAAACACTGGACAGAGTCTTATTTGCATGGACAAGCTAAAAGGCTGATTTTCTCAGTTCCTTAAACGTTTTTGATGAATGTTTTCCACCCAACAGAGATACATTTAACACTGTTGCCATTTATTTGTTTCATCAAAAAGAGGAGACATTAAGTTATTCAGTTAAGGATAAAATAATTTTTATTCATGTTATCTCTATATGAGATAAGATTTTGTAGTCTTTTCAAATAATCAAGACTTGCGGCAATATAGAGTTCACCTTTTAATCTAAATCTCATGTGTATATTTTTGCTATTACCATAAAAAGTAGCCCACTATTGCTAAAATTAACAGTCTGTTCATCATTTCCAGGGTGTATCTGATGGTGCCGCTGCTGTAGTGATTGCAAGTGAAGATGCATTGAAGGAGCACAAGCTCACTCCGCTGGCCAGAATTGTGTCCTATCATGTGTCAGGCTGTGACCCAAGCATTATGGGAATTGGTGAGCAAGACCACTGTTATGGGGATGCCATTTAACCCTTATGAATAAAAAAGGAATGAGTGACCTCTAAACAGGTATTTTACAGTCAGAATTTCTGGTTTCCTATAATCATCTTAGGTCCTGTTCCAGCAATTGCAGAAGCTCTTAAAAAAGCTGGTCTCATGCTCAACGATATGGATCTTGTGGAGGTTTGTTATGAGTGAAAAACCAATCTTTCTGACTTCCTACATTAGATTATGTCATATGGTTCAGTAGTGGTGGAAAAAAATGTTTTTTAATCAAAGAAAAGTATCAATACAACAATTTAAAAAACACTTCATTGAAGGGAGAGGTCCTGTCCTTATGTAAAAGTGCAGAAGTACCATTAGAAACATGTTCTTAAAGTATGGCCCTCAGATAAATGCAGTGGAGTAAGAAGTACATTTCCTTCTGTAATGTACTAAAGTAGATTTTTTAAGCAACCTAAAATGAAGATACTCAAGAAAAGTACCTTGTTTTGAGTAAATAGTCTCCAAAACTGCATATATGTTTTGATTTATTCAGGTAGTGCTTTCTCAGGTGTGTCTCTGATCTCATACAGGTGAATGAGGCCTTCGCCCCTCAGTTCCTGGCTGTTGCTAAGGCTCTCGGACTAAATCCAGAAAAAACCAACGTTAACGGTGGAGCTATTGCCGTAGGACATCCTCTTGGGGCTTCTGGAACACGCATCACTGCTCACCTGGTTCATGAGCTCAGGTAGTGTGATAATTGGTAATTATATGTACAGCAGACTATATGATGGAACAGTAAGTAGCTTTAAAAAATGAATTTTGTTTCAGGCGACGAGGAGGCAAGTATGCTGTTGGCTCTGCCTGCATCGGTGGTGGTCAGGGCATCGCTGTTGTTCTTGAAAAATGCTGAAATAGCTGCCAGTATCAGAAGAATTCCTGTAGAAAAGTGCCTTGCACACACACTGTCCACTCACAGAAAGTAGGATAACGCGTACTAAAAATGAGATTTATTTCTACATACATGTAAAATGGCAGATGTTCTTTTAACATAAGGGATGCTTGGCTTTTCGCTGGCAACCAAGCGACCACTTTCAGATTATTGATACAAAAATGTACAGTAAATATTTGTCCATTGTTTCCTTGGAAGCATAGTGAAGATACAAAGCTAATTCATGGTTTTGATCAACACTTCTGTGCTCGTTGTACCAGAGTGTGGCAAGAGTGTGCTTCTGAAACACAGAGGTAGTGAATGGTACATAGTAACACGTGTGCCATATTAGTAACACATAAAGTACAGTTTGCTCTCATCACTCCTTTACCAAGGATTGCCAAATACTAAGTCTAACTTGTAGTGGCTCCAATGAAAATGATTATGTATTTCTGTGTCAATGTGTCTCAATAAATTCAAATTTGAAAGTTGAGTGAAGTTTTTCATGAGCATCCCTTGACAGAAGCCTATGCATATTCACACTACTTTATGGTTGTCTCTTTGCTAAAAAGATTTATTATATTGAGTTAATCATACAGCAGTGACACTTGGCACGTATTGCTTTTTATACTTCTAGTTTTGTTGCTGCAGTCTTAGCAAGTAAAAAGAATGTTTATCTTAGATTTGTTTTAGTTTTTTTTTTAACTCCTGCTTAAAATGGTTTTAGAAAAACAGATAATACAACTATAGAGAATGGATTAATGAATGGGTGGTGTTTTATATTGGACAATAATATAATTCAGGTTTAACTTTTTTTTTTTTTTTTACAATAACAGCCCGCTAAACTTTTTGAAAGTTATATTATTTCTTTTTTGAACACTGAAAAATGGAAATGTGAATAGATGAAAATCTATAAACGCATACATTGCAGCTGTTGATGTATTATTTATAGCAGTCTGCCTCTGTTTATGAACTTCGATGTATCAAAAGGCACTAAATATTGTCAGTGATGCTGCTCGCCCAGCTGACTCCCTGTTTCAGACATTGCCCTCAGGGGGAAGGTTCAGGCAACACAGTTTTAAAACAAAATGAGTTTTAAAAAAGTGCATACCCAGAGGCTATCTGGTTGCTAAACAGTAAGCCCATCTCACTTTAAGGTTTTAGTCCTTTTTATTATTACCTTTAAGCTGGTATTATGAAATGTCCTTTTGTTGTGTTGTTTTTAAAAAGTCTGTATACACATACACCAAGACAAATTCTTGAATATTTTTATGTTTGGTAAATAAAGTTCAATTGATTTCAATATAAAAAATAAGTTCTTAATTTATGGATATAATACTTCCCTTAGAGAAAAATAAAGACTATATACAGTGGATTACTAGCTTTCTGACAGACAGGAAGCAGCAGGTGAGGCTGGGTAAAACCACATCCAGCACCCGGACAGTAAGCACAGGCACCCCACAGGGATGTGTGCTCTCCCCTCTGCTGTTTTCACTCTACACCAACGACTGCATCTCGAAGGACCCCTCTGTCAAGCTCCTAAAGTTTGCCCATACTTGGCAGCACTGTATCAGCAGTAAAGTCCTAAAAGTTCCTGGGCTCCACTATCTCCCGGGACCTGAAGTGGACGTCCAACATCAGGACCATCACCAAGATGGCACAGCAGAGAATGTACTTCCTGCGCCAGCTCAGGAAGTTCGACCTGCCCCAGGAGCTGCTGATACAGTTCTACAGAGGAATCATCGAGTCCATTCTCTGCATCTCCATCACTGTCTGGTTTGGCTCAGCAACCAAACCGGACAAGTACAGACTTCAGCGGACAGTTAGGACTGCAGAAAAGGTCATTGGTGTGAGCCTGCCCTCCATGGAGGACCTGTACACCGCACGGGTCAAAAGGAGGGCGGAGAGGATCACTGCAGACCCCTCACACCCTAGATACAATCTGTTTGAACTCCTCCCCTCTGGATGGCATTACAGGTCACTGTACACTAAGACAACCAGGCACAGGGACAGTTTCTTCCCCTAGGATGTCACTCTGATGAACACTTAACCAACAACAGTATGACTGGACCATAACCCTCAGTGCAATACCTATAAATATACATTGTACAGATTATACGGATCTGTACAGGTCTCTAGTTTTAAGTACTCTGTTTTTATTCATATTTATCTCATTTCAATGAGCATTCCTTTGTCTGTCTGCATTGTTTACTGCCTGTTAATATGGTTTATTTTGTTATATTACACAGCCTTATGCTTGTTTACTGTTTACTTGCCCCTTGCATGGGGATATGTACATAACACACTGAGAGCCGATGTACCAGAGTCAAATTCCTTGTGTGTCTGACACACCTGGCCAATAAAGTAGATTCTGATTCTAATGCAATAACTAATTGTTGTATGACCAGATAAAAACAATATTTTAGAGAAATGAATTTGTTTATTCAAAAAAGCTAAAAATTAACAAAATCTTTCTCCAAAAGATCTTCTGGTAATACCAGTTGTTGAAAATTTACAACATCACAAAAACTTCAAAAAATATAGTGAATACTACAAGGACCAGAATACCCTTGAAAATAAACGCAATGACATCAACGTCATGGCGCATTGTCCTCATATCCGGGAGATCACCGGATGTCGGTCTTTTTTTCTCATAGCAAAGGTAAGGTAGTTTTGTCTTCGTGTGATTGTAGGAAAATCTTTTTTCATCTGTCTTGCAGAATAAAAATGAGAGTCTACAAATGACAGGAGATGAGTCCTTGTGTTTAGACGATGCCACAGACATCATTATTACCATGATTAATTTACCATGTTTCTGTAATAATGACCATCTTATGTATTGGCTGTCCCAGGCCTCCGGTTAGCCTTCGTGCTGTGTGTAATGTTAGCTAGCGGGCTAGCAGAAGCGAGCTGTCTTTCGTTACGCTTTTGTATCATTAGTACCAATTCCGTTACTGCACTCTTTAAGATTTACTTTAAAACCCCGACTCGTCTTTTCGGGATTGAAGTGGCTGGATAGCCAGCAAAGCCACCGCTCTAGACAATGTTGCTACTGCTAGCTAACTTGTCATGCCTCTTCTGCAGTGGGGATGACAGTACACATAACACTGCTGCAGTTGTTGGTCTAACTTCTGTTTCACGTTGCCTTGTATCAGATGGTAGAGGGAGACAAGAAAAAGCCTGCCAAGAAGAAGCACGGGAGCCGGAACCCGGTTCTGGCCCGGGGCATCGGCCGCTACTCCCGCTCTGCTATGTATGCCCGTAGGGCCATGTACAAAAGGAAGACCAAGACCACGGAAACCAAGGTGAGGTTAAACCGATGACACTCCACAAAATGAGTGATACCAGAAGCCCTTTGCACATCACATTTGTTGACAGTGCCTTGCTTTGATAATAATTAGTTGCTCTTGTTTCAGATTGAGAAAAAGATTAAGGCAAAGCCCCAGGCCACCGTTATCAAGACTGTTGGAGGAGATAAGAATGGTGGCACTCGTGTTGTCAAGCTGCGCAAGATGGTGAGTGATGGAATTATGCAAAGAAAAACAAATCAAAATATGAGAGGCTCACATTCACGAACTGTTGCCTGACTAAGGCGGAGTGAACTCTGTTGTATAGGAACAACTGGGAGCATACACTGTTCAGTGCTTTGGCATTCACAGATCAAATAAATGGACACAAACTGTTAGTGCAGGGCAGCAACAATTTATGCACACAAATGCTTAAAGGTGTCCTATACCACACCTCACACAGTATTTTTCAGGCTACTGTAGTACTGGCAAAATGGTAAACAAGGATTTTTTGTGTGTGTGTACATAGGATAAAATTTTGCTTGTCTCCATTCTGATGCTGATTAGTCACTTGAGCTGATATAGTGCTGTAAGCTCTAAATAAAAACCCAAATTTGTCATGTCAAGTGAAAAAGAGTCCACTTTAATTTTGGGTGTGTCTGTCATCTACTTGATTTCTGTGGCCATCCTAAATTAAAATGGTAATATTTTCCACTGTAGCCCCGCTACTACCCAACAGAGGATGTTCCCCGTAAACTGAAGAGCCATGGAAAGAAGCCCTTCAGCCAGCACAAGAGGAAGCTGCGTGCCTCCATCACCCCAGGAACTGTCCTCATTCTGCTCACGGGCCGCCATCGTGGAAAGGTGAGAACCATTTGTAGCACATACCAAAACAATGATAGGATATGAATTATATTCTGTAAATGTCATCACATGTAAACAAAAGAATATCATCAGAATTTTAGATCTCGGAATAAGCCTACATTTGACAGTTTATTTTTACGTAGGCTTAGCAAACATGATAAAACGTGTCATGTTTGTAATTTCCTCCCACAGTCCAAAAACACGTGCGTTAGGTTTAATTGGCAAATCTAAATTCCTTGAATATGTGAATGTGATATGAATGGTTGTCTGTTGTTGGCCCTATGCTGGAATTGTGACTTGTCCAGGTGGTGTACCATGTCTTGCCCAATATTAGGTGTGATTGGCTACAGCCTCCTGTCAACATCTGAAGATGATCTGATGGCTGTTTGTAAAGGAAGCCAGTTATGATTGTTCTCAAAGGCAGTATACATTTTAGTTTAATCCTGTTCTAAATTATTTGAATATACACTTCTTGAACTTTGTGCTGTCTAGATTGATTAGTCGGAGTATAAAGTATGGCAATAAAAGATTTTTGTGATCTGGCAAATGTTTTATTCAAATACAGAGGCAGCAACAATCATTCTAATTCATTGCTCGACAATCTAAAGTAGATGGTTGGTTGTTATAGTGACATTGTTTCTAAAACAGTGACATTGGATGGTATTTTTACTGGTTGCAATCATGATAGACTTCTCCTGAACTGTCATGGATAAAACTGTTACTAAACTGACAGCATGATGACAGCTATTGTCCAAGGGAAAAAAAAGTGGTACATCTTTGTTTATAAAAGCTTGTGCTGAAGCACCCATTGTGGGTTTAACAAGCATACTGGACCTATTGTAATCACACACCCTTAGTACCACAGACATTGTTGCTCCCTCCCACTCTCAAACGCTACATGGGCAAGTTATAGAAGCATGTGCCCACACACACTTGGAGCAGTGGGTGACCTAAATAATGTTTTAGCTATGAAACTGACAGGTTGAGAACTCTTATGCCAGGCGCTCCTAATTTATCAAAAATGTGGACTGCAGCTATTTGTCTTGTTTCTCACCACTAGACTAGTTTACTGAGTTGCATTAAAAAGATCCTTTTTGTATTGTCATGATGGCACCAAATACGATATGTAGGGGTTGCTGCAGTAACCACGCAAATCCCAATTTAGTAGCTTTGTACTGACACTTTTTTTTTTTGGTTTGTTTTAGCGTGTCGTATTCCTGAAGCAGCTCTCAAGTGGTCTCCTACTTGTCACTGGTAAGGGCATTTTTGTTAAATAACTTAAATTTGCATTGTCTGCAGGAAATTTGTCATCTTTATATTCATTTTGTAATGTCCTTTCCCTATTTTAGGCCCTCTTGCCTTGAACAGAGTCCCCCTGCGCAGGGCTCACCAGAAGTTTGTCATTGCCACCAACACCAAAATTGACATCTCTGGTGTGAAGATCCCCAAAACTCTGAATGATGCCCACTTCAAGAAGAAGAAGCTGAGAAGGCCCCGTCACCAGGAGGGAGAGATCTTTGATACAGAGAAAGAGGTGAGCTGATTTGGATAGTGTCTCAGAATTGCACCACTGACTACTTTAATAGTCACACCTGTACAATTGTATGGACTTCAATGCAGCACTTTTACTTTAACATCTGTTTATGAAGCTCAGAATGTTTGTTTTGGTGAAATTGTCATACATGTATAAATTGTTTATTGAAGTCATAGTTAAGTGGTGTTGTACTGGACTACATTATATATAGAGGTGTCTATTTTTGTCCTCCACTGCACCTGAGGGTCTGAATACGTAGTCATTACAACACCACCTTTAACTATGACCTCAATAACTGAATTTATACATTTGACAATTTCACCAAAAACAAGCTTCATAAACATGTTGAGGTGCAAGTGTTGCATTGAATTGCATACAACAGGTGTTACGATCAAGGGGCCAGGCAGTGTAACCATCTAAATGGGATTTCGACTCTGCATAATACCTGACTTATTGTCTCATCTGCAGAAGTACCAGCTGACAGAGCAGAGGAAATTGGAGCAGAAGGCTGTAGATGCTCAGCTCCTGCCTCTCATCAAGAAGGTACCTCAGCTGAAAGGGTACCTGCACTCTTGCTTCTCCCTGTCTAATGGTGTCTACCCACACAAGCTGGTTTTCTAAATGTGTTGTAATAAAGAGTACCACCCTGTAATATCTCTTGCGTAATTTGTACAGAATTCATAACATTTCTCTATTCACCCTAACTTGCCTTTCCAACATAACTATTTCCAGAGCTCACATTGAATAGTGTGGTTAAGTGATTAATTTCCATTAAACAGTCCTTAACTGATTCTGTATGACCAGCAATGGGCCTGAAAAAGAATGCTCTTCAGAAAATCATAGCAGCAGTGACTGGAGTTAAAACTTACTGCCTTGATATAATGGCTGTAAACACCATTTGCAAAAGGGGAACATAGGCATTACCTACCCAGGCATCTCCTGCTTGATAAATGTAACATGGGGCTGGTATTAAAATGACAAAACAGCGGAATGAAATAACCACATCAGGTATTGGACCAAGACAGCTTAGCAGCTATGCTTTAATTAAAAAAACGACACGTCTAATATAACAACAAAAATAAATATACAAGTGTTTTCATCTCTTTAACATGGCCACTTTTTTTTTTTTAAATCCCCAAAAACAGAATAAAGTAGAAAGCAGTGCAGACAAAGGCATCGGCCCCTTGCCAAGGAATGATGCGTGCCTTAGTCGAGTCAGTCAGTACTGCAAGTGTGGTCAGCTGGTCTAAAGAAAATGCATTCCCTCAGCCGGACTTGAACAGCAGAATGGCCACTTGGCCTAAGTAGAAGTAAATGAAATGCTTGGTCTCATGAGTCACATAACTGCCGAAGTTCCTCCCAACGATGCAGTGCCAGGTCGGGTTATACTTCTTGTCAAACTCCTGTGTGGGACAAAGAGCGTTCATCAAAACATGGGTAGACAAATGTGTTGAGATGAGTATAAAAGATTGATGGCTCCTTACAAGAATACATAATGAAACAAAAACAAGTGACATTTCTAGGTAGCCAGCTGTATTATAGTTAAATTCATTTCACTGCCCATCTTTTTTTTTAGTGACTAGGTAAAATACTGTCACTTTGCAAATATATAAAATATTAATTTGCTCAATGTCAACATCAACTGCAAAAACTCAAGGTATGAGCTTAAAAAACTTAGAAAAAAAATCAACTGGACTAGATTTATAGGTCGAAGACGTTTCACCTCATCCAAGAGGCGTTGGTCGACGGGAGGATTCGAAGACAGGTAACGACTCTCGCCGATACTGGGTTATAACGACTCAGTCGTTAGGGGACATTGTTGGCCTTCAAAGGACTGAAACCATACCGAGGGGGATAAGTGTCTCCAGCTCAACACCAGTCAGTCAGAACTAAAGAAGCCTTTTGGAGAGGTGAAACGTCTTCGACCTTTAAATCTAGTCCAGTTGATTTTTTTCAATTTTTTTTTTCAGCTTTCTATGACCTGATGAGTGAGAATCTGCAGAGTCAAGGTGTGTGGTTGCTAAAACTCAGGGAGCGGAGGGAAGGAAATATTTTTGAAACTCTGTGCCTATTATAGATGAGGCAAGAGGTTTGTAAGCAGGAATATACCGTGAGCATGTGGGCCCTCAGATAAAGAGGGACAGATTTCCTAGGGAAGAGTAGAGCCATTTGCACATACCTGCCTGGGCGTGCAATACTAAAGATGTGTGACGTGTCAGTAGAGGTTGTTTTTTTGTTTTGTTTGTTTTTTTACCTTTTTGATGTATGCAGCAATGTCTTTCTCGATGTTGTACTTCTCCAGGGCTTGTGTGGCACACTCCACAGCATCCTGCTGCATGTCCTCCGACATGTCGGCATTTTTGATCACTGCCTTTCTGTCAGACATGGTTTCCTGGGAACCCAAAACACAGCGAAGGACTTATCAATTTCAATGGCTCATTGGCTTGCACACACGCATTACTGACTGATATAAATGGCACCGTGTGGACATCATGACGGCTCTGTTCAGCCAGCGAAAGAGAAAAGAGCTAGTTAGTGACAAAGCTATCATTAACGTTACATAACTGACGCAAAATCTGAACTTGCCATTTCTACAAGTGTTGCATAACAACTTCCATCAGTTGCAAGCTCACTGGATGCGCGCTCTGCGTAGTTTCTATGGATACGCAAGATATTTGAGATTATGGTCTCAAATATACCTGAGGTTTCAACAAAAATCCACTGGAATACGAGGCTTCACAATGAAAGCACACTGCTGCAACTACGTAACGTTAGGAAGCAAAAAAGGCACACTTTATCTGCTCCAACGTGCGGGTACCAAAATAAACACACCATTCTCATAATAATATAACGTTTGTCATAAACAGGACTTCACATTATCTTAAGTACGATGTTGAAAGAAGGGCTTGCTAGCAATTCCTCGCCACATGCACATTCGGCTACCGTGAGCCACTGATTAGCTACCGTTAAATCACGTTAACTAGCTAGTTACTCATTCAACCCGCTAAAAGGAAAAGCACTCTAACGGGAAAGCATAGATGTTGCCGTTTCGACAATGCTTAAAGGATGATAAATTTAACATCGTAACATTTTCTGCATATAAAAATCTTTATTTTACCTTCTAATCTCCGGTATACTGTTTGCCTTTTTTTAAAGAGACGACAGCTCCCACAGTGACAACTCCCGCGAAGTGGTTGACACAAAAGTAATGTGGGTGTGTAGCGGTAACAGACTGCTGCCTTGACGTGTTCCCATTGGCTTATATTAATGTATAGCCCGCAGTCATTGGCTAGTCCAGGTTCATCTTTCTGGTATTTATGCCAGCATTTTATTTCAAACCATCATGCCTTGCGACACTTCCGTTGCCGGGGTAACCATTGTAAACAACTTGCTTAGGTCCATGCCGGCTAGCGACTACACTTATAGGACCGTACACGTTGCTGTTTTCATAATACTTAAAAAGAAAATGTAACGAATTGATTTGAAAATATTCGCAATTTGGACACGCCGTTTTGCTTACGAACATTATTTTTAACTTTTCTGCTTGTTGTGGAGAATGTTAAGTTGTCGCCACGCCATATTGAATTATGGGTAAATGTGCCACTGGAGGGGGGCGGGGGGCTCACGCTCATTAGTCATCATAGAAATGTACACTACATACACCTGTAAGCTTAAAAACTATCCCATTCAGCAGCGGATGCTTCAACTAAGCCCAAACATACATGTAAGTGTTCAGTTTGAGCACAGACAGGACAGAAATGGATTAATCCGCAGTGTTCGTGTTATCTGCCGACAGCTGCTAGCTAGCGTTATCTCCCGAACCGAGAGCTGAGATGAAGATGCTGTCATTTTTCAGTCTGTCGCTCTCGTCGACAGGATCTCTAGGTGGGCTACGAATTACCTAGTCAGCTAATGTTAACCATTCTGATTTGCCACATTCAGTAAAGTGAGATCTAAACTATTTAAGCTACGTTTTAGCCAAACAAAACAAGATTGTATGCACGTAAATACAGCGCCTCCATCCCAAAATGGCTCTCCCGTTCTAACACGGCGTGACGTACCTTCACATTCTCTATTATAACATTTTTAGTTGTAACAGGAAACGTTTCTCCTATGACATATACATTTGCTTTGAATTGAAATTTCTTGACTTCCACAAGTTTATGATTGAAAACATATCTGCATAAAAATGGGAGCCTATGAGAATGGATAATTAGTTATATTTAGATGCAATTGTTTATTTGTGAGTTAAGAAAGTAAAATTTTTGTGCACATAAATTATATGCTGATACACAGTGTACTTTGGTACACTCCTAATTTGTCCCATTTCAAACGAGTTTGTAGGGCAAATGTGATTCTCAAGATTTTACTGTAAGAAATATTTCCCATCAGGCTGCAGCATTTGGCTGTTGTATGTCTGTTTATTGACATCTTAATATATTTTCAAATTTGACTGTGTTCTGAAAACAAGGTGAAAATGAATAGAATTTATATTGCACATTAATTTTGCCCATTTATTTCACTCAAAATTAACAGTTGGAAATTTACAACCCCACTATTTCCTATATGTTTTATTTACTCCTTAAATATTTTCTGGAGTATTTGCTATGTGCCTAGAAAACTGAATTAACATCCTAATCCTAACATTCATATTCTGTGTTAGAGGTTAAAATCTGTACCATCATGATACATTAATAGCATTTCAGATGACCTGGTCTACTGCTATCAAAATCGCACCTGAAAAATATTGAAGATATAATTCATTTAGCTCACATTTTCACACAATCACATACAATAGATTAACCAAGTTTTCTAATGTAACAGTCACATTATTCAGCCAATAACTGATGAAAATGCATACTCATTCGTCCCAAATTAGTTTCTATAACCAAAAAAAAAAATATTTACCATAAATATTGTTTGAATCAGCACATTTCTCCTTCCTAATTTATTTGTTTGTCAAAACTGGAAGAGAATTATGACAGGTTTAAAAACAGTCTTAAAATTCCATGAATGAGATTTTTTTTAAATAATGTAGTGGCACTACTGTATTGTCTGCATGTGAAAGAACTACATCTCAAAAGACCTTTGCAGAACTCAGCGCAATATGTTAAACACTTGGGCCACTATTATAGTGGCACAATTCCACTATATTAGTGGTGCTCATTGTTCATGATGGATGAGTAACAGCTGTATCGGAAGCTAGTCCACATCATGACTGCTCCTCTCCGGATGTTGTAATCCTTTTTCCGTATATCAAAAATTAAATGAACAAGAAAAAACAAGCAAACTGTTGACCATGGAGAATTAAAACTAAGGTAAAAAAACTGAATAATTCTGTTGTGCAGAATATGTGTTTAGGTCAAATTTTCATTAATGGGGATTGTTTTAATTTAAGATAGAAAAAAATGTTTAAAATTAAAATGGCTTTCAGTTTTGTTTCATCTATAACATTGTTGCATTATAGGAAAGAGTTCACTCGCTGCGGACATTTGGTTCTCTGAATTTGTACTGGATGTATTCAAAGATGTCTCTCTCACTGTCCACAAATAGAGGTTCCCCTGCCACTCCTACAATAAAGCCACAAAGAAAAATAGCTTATATAAAAAGCTGAAAGCATAACTCTTTCATTACTGACTGATGACCAAAGTTGCACAGAGATGGGACAGATGGCTCATATTTGACTGAAACTCACCAGTGACCCCAAGTGGTCGTATGGTGTACTCATTGAGAGTAAAGCCCTTCTCCAAAGCATGAGCTCTCATATTTTTATTGAAGATATCACTTCCAGTGAAATACAGAACTCCACAGAAGTACTGGTCCTTGGGAATTAACCTTAAAGAAATTAGCAAAGGGCAATTAGGGAGCAGGAACAAAAGGTTGTTTGAGAATAAACATAAAAAAGTATATTCTTTACTGTTTTTAAGGTATATATGAATGTAGGCATCAGAGACTGTAGTAGGCAAATCATAGATTTGACCCCCTCTACAAAATTACACAAAACAGTCATATCACCTGGCGAAGAATCTTTTAGCCACACAATTAATCCACTGGCCAGTCCATGTTTTGCATAAACCTATGCCTAAAAGACTAATCTGTAAATATCAAGAGCAATTTAAAGCAGGGCACCTAATATCAATACGTCTGTGAAGGCATTCTTCCTCATCTTCATCACTTTGCTGCAGCTGGCAGACTCCCTAGAAAACAAGATTCAGAATATCATGACCACAGTCATGCACTTCATGGGTTGGGTCAAGTTACTATTCTAAATGCATCACATCATCACACACATACAGCTGAGAATATGAGACAAGATAAGCACCATGAATTTGGTGTCTCCTTTGGACAACGTGTCAGTCACAAATCCAATAGACTCCAAATGGTCAACCACAGCACGGAGGAGCTTGGGCTGGAATAGAAGATAATTGTAACAAAATGAATTGTAAAAAGATAAAAGCAAGATGCAATTAACAATGGTTGTTCCAACAAATGGAACCAAGTAGAGAAGAGTCTTACCTGCTTCTCAGTGTGAGAGGTGTAGTTTGGATGTGTTAGCAAAATATCAATATCACCACTCGATGCAGCACCTTGAAATTATGAATGTCTCCTTCAGTATCATGACTAACAGAGTCTAAACTGCTGTCACAAACTTAATTTTAATGACAATTATCTTAAAGGTAACTTTACCCCTTCTGTAGCTTCCACAGATTGTTCCAATATATTCTGGATCAATTTTCTTCAATTCTCCAATAATCAGCGTCTAAACAAAAACATCAGAAGACAGTAAGAAAACTAAATAAATCCCAACTGAAGGTAACAAAATTAAAAGGCTTGACCCACCTCCATTTTTTCCATTTCAGCACGTGGGATCCTTTTCTCAAATTCCTCAAAGTACCTGAAAGCAGCAAAATAAACCACGAAACACAGCTCACGTACCAACAGAGGAAGACTTTCAGGTTTTTAAATGGAGTTTATTTTGATGCTGATGAATTACAGATTTCAAAAAACCATTGTAAGAGCATTCAGACAAACTTACTTGAGTCCAATCTGTTGATGGTGGTTTAGCTTGTGCTCAATCTTTTTCAAATCTAAAAATACAGCAAAACAATTTCATTAAAACCAAAGTTAGATCTACACTATGCCAACTTTTATTAAGCATGCAAAATTCTCTATGCCAAATAAAATATTAGGGCTGCAAATCGTTTTGTGAGCATGATTTAGATCCATGTGCGATCTCAGACTGACATGACAATGATTTTGCAGTGTTTGCATTAACAGTGAGATCCCTTGAGTCACACCAAATTTGTGAACACATGTAATGTTAATTAATTGCTAAACAAACCTTCTATTGTCTTTACCCCTTCCTCAAAAAACTTCCTGGCAGCAGCAGGGCTAAAGTCAAGACCACAAATATGAGAATATTACATGAAGTGAAGCATATATGATAAATCTAAATTTCAGCATCTTTTTGGAGTGGCAATTGGTCACTTTAGTGCATTTTAATCAGTCATGATGGATTTCAATGGATGTCCATAGAAAACAACAGCTTTTTAATGTGGATTAATAACACATACAGTATGACGTACCCAATTCCAGTAACTCTGGTGAGGAGGTTGATGGAAGAGCTGGTGTCATCATTTCGAATCTGAATGAAAATATCAAAGCAGTGTGTGTAAAATGTTACAACGAAGCCATTACTAAACACATACACACAATATTACCACACCACAAGACTCACCTTTTCCAGTTTACGTAGCTTGCCAGTTTGTAGGAACTCATCAATCTTTTCTGCTATTTTAGCTCCAACGCCATCCTGTTGAAATGTGAAAACAAACAGGAGGGCACTGTAGCAATCTGTAGCAGTTATTGCAAGATGTGCAGAGTAGCTGCTGACAAACATGTTCAGACTGCAGCAGAGGGCATCACAGGAAGACAAATAAGGCAGCTGTTTCCAGTTTCCATGCAACGTTACACTAAAATGAACTTTCTAGAAGCAGTAAAGATGAATCGGTGCCAATCAAGCTACATAACAGCTGCACTTGATTTTAACGTATTTACTGACTGTCAAAAATTCAAAAATTCTTTAATGTATTATTTATGAAGACATGAAAAATATACATACTAGTTTCTTGGCCTCTTCACCACTTTTGATCTTGTGAGGGTACTTGGCAATTGCTGATGCTGCTTTCCTAGCCACAGAGCACAAGATGTATAAATGATTATGTACAGAAATAGCAAAACAACTTTTCCACCGAATTAACTACAAGATTGTTCAATGTGGTGTCACAATTAATTATCATGTTAATAATCAACAGTGGCTCAGGAGGTCGTCTCCTAACCAGGTTGGCGGTTACGTTCCCAGCTTCTCCAGTCCACAAGTCAAAGTGTCCTTGAGCAAGACACTGAACCCCAAGTTGCTCCCGATGATATTACTGGTGTGCAAGTGTCTGTGTGCTTGGGAGCGCAAATGGGTGAATGGGCAAATGGTGTGAAACTGCCTTGAGTGTGCTGCAATGCATAGAAAAGTGCTATACAAGTATAAAGCCATTTACCACATGAGCTTTATACAACAGCCCTACCATAAATCCTTGTCTCATTAAGCTTATATAGTCCAGTTTCTCTCATAACTGTATTAGCTGTTATTTCTGAGGCTGTACTTTGTGACGCTATAAAGCTGTACTGTCCAGTCTTCATTGATATAATAGATGTAGAAAAACTAAGTATAGTATGGAAACACCTCCAGTATATCCCAATACATTACACATAAACACAGTAACCTTATTAATGGTAGAATCAATTTCAGGCTTTTATTACCTAATAAAACTAGGATTTTTTTGTACAATACGAATGGATGTGTTCAGTAACATTATATTTGTTATTATACGTGTTTGTATGAATAACAGTGAAACCTTAAGCCTTAAACAAATGGCATCTCTCGGAGGCTTCAGAGCTTACCTGTACGCATTGTACTTGTGTATGAGGCTTACCTGTACGCATTGTACTTGTGTATTGCCCTGTTTACATTTTTCTCGTAATTGGCCAGCTCTGGAAACAGAAGTTAGACATTGCATGACTTTATATTTCCTTCATACCCGTTTAGTTTACTTTGAATATGTTAGAAAATGCCAGCTATTGTGAAGGTACAGTACAAGGCATGTTAACTTAATCGATACAACACCAGATTAACTAATGCAAGACAGAACAGCGTTATTTAGGATCATTTAACAAATAAGTTATATCCTAGTTGTACAACGCTACTGTATGGCTTTTTTGTTTTAAGACAGAACGCATCTATCAGAATAGCTACCGATAAGTTAGCTAAGCACAACCGTTTGGCTCATCTTCACGTACCGACAAGAAAGTCTGTTATTCCCTCATTTAGGGATTCCTGCGGTGCTTTCCTCTTGCTCATTGCGGATTTGCCCGGCTCTCAAACGTTGACTTTGAATTCAAACGGTCCTATAAGCACGGTTACAAAGTTAATATCTCATAGTATTCCTAGTTTACCCTTAGCAATTAGCTAGCTCATGCTAAACAATGGTCGAAGATGTAGGGGGAGCTGTGCGTAATACGTCTTCTTCTTCTTCTAACAGATTTCCCGAAGGCTGTACACCATGAGATGTAATGCCGCCCTCCAAGGGGGAAAACAACTGTGCTATCGGGCAAAGAATGTCCTGTTTATCTAAACTGCGTAATATTTATTCAGTACTACATCACTGTGCCGTGCTACCAAGAAAAATGAGTCAATGTGCTACATCCGTACAGCCAATGGCTACACCACAGATAGTGATACATGACATGACATTATTTTATTTATCAAGTAGGGTTCATTTTCAAAATTTACAAATTAATAAAATGAATTATTTGGTGCTCTGCGGCCTCTACTGCCTGCATACTATAATGCACTGTACATTTTAATACCCAAGGAGTTGTTGGAGAAACATTTGTGTGCATGTGAGAGAAAGAAAAAGAGAAGATATTATGAGATTAAGGGATCTTGTGCATCATTTTAGTGTTTATTTCACATCTCTTTGTGGTCATTTTGTATTGCCTGTTTGTGGTCAGAAAATGTGGACACCATCTCCTCCTAGCAGCCGACAACATTTGATTATGAATCAGAAACTCTGCAGAGAGGACATCTGAATCACACTGAGCTTGAAAATCCATTCCTTTATTTAGACTGTGTAAAATCATGATTGGATTAAAAAAAAAAAAAAAAAACATAGAATCATACTTGATATCAAAATTGTGTCCTGGTGTTTGGGCTCTTTGGGGCAGTATTCCCTAGTGAAAACAGCCTGACACAGATGGGGCTGTTACACCTGACCCACCAGAACTAAGGATGCTGACTGTAGAACTCTGCACTAGACTCAGACCTGATGAGACCGTGAAGGGACTACCTCAGCTGGGGGAAGCACAGTCAATCACACTTAAATCCATCATCGCTTTGGATGAGATGTTGGCAGCAGCTGAACTTTTTTTTTTCCATTTAGCTTTTTTTTTTAACCTGTCTGAGGCAACAACTGACACTACAGCATCTATTCCACCAATTGTGGCAAATCTGGGCGGAAATCTCATATGGGATCCCCTGAAGAACCTCACCATCTGTGTATTTGTCCAGCAAACGTTTTTTCACTCTCTTTGTCTGCACATCTACATCTGTCTTTCTTTTTATGTTTGTCTCAGTTTCTGTTTATGCACACTTGTATCGCTCTCTGTCTATGTTTGTCTCTATCTTTCATTTGGACGTTCTCATCTGTGTCAGTTTGTCTGTCTGCCTGTTCCCAGAGGTAGATGGAGCCATGAGAGCCTGGAAAAAATGGTAAAGCACTAAATATTTGTGAAAGTAAATTTTGTTTAGGCAATCCTGTCCTTCAACACATCATAATGTACCTCTGTCTAGTACAGGTGTGTGACATGAGACACCACAATAAGCAGTGTTGGTCGTGACATGGCTGCATGGGAGGACACATTAGGCGAGTGCTGAAAATACACATCTTTTTCTGTCTCTTTGTCTAACATTGTCACCATGGCAATCTATAGTTTTTGATTCTCATATCATACAGGAGGCTGCCCTCCGGGAGCCGGGGTCTGCTCGGAGGTTTACGTCTGGTAGAGGGAGTTTTTCCTCCCCACTGTTGCCAAGTGCTTGCTCAAGGGGGATTTGTTGGGGTTTCTCTATAATGATAATAATAGTAAGCAACAGACTTTACTATCTAGTGACCTGAGATGACTTTTGTTGTGATTTTGGTGCTATACAAATTTAATTCAAGTGTACATGTTGACACCATGTAGAATTATTTTTCCAGCCACAGCTGTCACCTGTGCAGAGGCATAAAAACATAAACACTTGTCAAAATATTGTTAATGAAGCATCAGTTATTTCTTCAGGACATTTTGTGTAAAATCTTAATTCATAAAAATTGTAACTGAAATAAATGTGTAGTGAAAACTACAAATGTGTAGCTCAAGCATGCTTCTGTAAACATATTGGTGGAAGATGGACAGGTTTAGATGCTGAAGTCATTGTTTCAGATTTTTGTCAAAAGCTGTTCAGGGTTCTTCTCTTCAGCACCAAGGACAGCGCACATTGTCAGAATATTAGGAACACCTCTGAATATAATGTAGTCCAGTACAACACCACCTTTAACTATGATCTCAATAATAAACATAACTGAATTCATACATTTATGACAATTTCTCCAAACATTTTGAGCTTCATAAACACAGATGTTAAGTTGGAAGTGCTGCATTGAAGTGCATACAGGTGTGACTATTAATGTAGCCAGTCAGTGTACATCACACATAGTGCTCTTGTCTCACAGTTCAATTAATGTTTGTTTTATAGACATTTAACAAATAAAGTGTGGAGAAAGATGTCTGTAGGGACCTCTATGGAGACAGGTGTGTCACCACCAGCTATCCGTTGCACAATACAATTTCAAAGTAATTGGAGAATTGATGTGTTTTGTGGCTTTGAGTTACACAACATGATTAGACTTTTTTTTTAAATTCATGATTTGTTGATAGGCAAGTCAAACTGGGGCTGCTTGACAGTCACATTGGAATTACAGGAGAAGTCAAAGAAATATGCAATACAGGGCCAGACTTCAAAGAAATATGCAATACAAGGCCAGACCTTTGTGCCATAAAAACATGTTGATAGTGTTCTGTATGCTGAAGTAATTATGTTAATAAAGATTACTATCTCTACATTTTTATGTTTATCAGTAGTTTCAAGAAAAATAGTTGTGATTCGAGTAATGAGGGGCCTGTGCTCCAGTAGAGCTTTGTGTCTAGTAATGCCCCTGAAACACTCACTCCTATGGCCAATTTAGAGTCTCCAATCAACCTAAGCTGCATGTCTTTGGTCTGTGGGAGGATGTGTAATATTCATTCAGTTTCATTTACAAAATACTAAATGAAACTACGTTTCTAACATTACAATAACCATCTATTTTACAAGATTCAGTATTGCATTACATAATGCAAATAACAATGAAAATAAATCTAAAAGCAGTGGATTTACAGAATCATCTCTTCTTTCTTCTTTCCTCCTCCTCCTCTTCTTCATGTTAGGAATCTGCTTTTACATAAACTTTGTCCCTGGAAAATATTTTTATGGCCTCCTCAATTTCAGAAAGCCTACAGTCAAGGTGTGCCCGATGTGACCGAATACTCAGATTGTCAGCTTTGAGAGGGAGTGATAGCAGCTCAGTCACCAGGGAATGATGGGCTGAAGAAAAATAAGCAACAGTAGAATTAGACAATTACTGTACATTTATGTCTTTAGGTGAATATTATAAGCATGAAGGGCAGGGATAAAGAGCAACAGAGGCGTACTCTCTTTAAGGGACTTCAGTGTCTCCTGTCTTTCACTCTCAGGCATCAGGGTGTGACCAGCTGGTACTGTAGGGTCAGGAGCGCTCTTCCTCCTCTCCTCCTCCTCTTTGCGCCACTGCTCCTTCCTTTCCTCAAGACTGTTTGGGTGGTAAAACAAGACAGAAAAAAGGAAAGTACAACAAAAGTGAAAGAAAATGTCAATCAGCTTGTGGTGGTCAGTTGTGTATGTTTACTAAATTGGCTACTTTTGACAAGTTGATAATGATCTAAGTAAGACATTGTATAGGAATACTCACTACTGAGGCACCTGTCCCTTTACTGCACTGGGGACAGGCTTATCTCTTAGGTTTGTTAGTGACTGGGACCGACGCAGCACAGCTCTTCTAGCAGCCTGTGCATTATGTTTTATGAAGTCTATGGTATGACCCTGCACCTGTAACTGTGTCCACATATAACAATGTATATATTCACAGTATTTGATTAATAAACATTTGGAGCATAAGACAGGAGTTGTTAACTTCTTTGACAGAAAAAATGTGATTAAATCAATATATTATGGAATCAAGTGAGTTAACAATTATTGGCAATTCTCACTTGTAGGTCCTGGCCCTGGTCATGTGCAGAGTTGCAGGTTTTAGAGTGTGGTCTTGACGGGGCAGTAGAGTGGGCCTTCAGAAAGTTTTGACACTGTGGTTTAACAGTTGGACGAGACACCTGATTGAAAGAGGCTGGATTAAAAGTGATCCAAAGGAAATATTCATAACTCTAGGACTTCTATCTTTCTGATGTGCTTCTGACCTGTAGCTGGGCCATCACCCTGGATGAGACATTCTGGTATTTAGAGGAGGTCCAAAGGGCTTTGACTGGAGCAGAACAAGACTGTGCTCTCTCAGCCTCCTTCTCTTTGCAGCGTCTCTGGATCTCTCGGAGTCGACTCACATTCTCTTTACCAAAGTCATGTACTCGCTGTTCTAAAAAGCCACATTTCTTTAATTACTTTCTAATTTTCTATGTGGTTAGTGTGCTCAGTTAACCTCTCTTACTTGCTATAACAACCCAGTATATGAAAAACTAGAAATAAGAAAAAACACATGCCTTACAGTGAAAACTGTTACTTACTCTGTTTGGGAACAGGGCTGATAGAAACACCATCTAGTTTAAGTAGTTCCCCCACTACCCCTCTCTGTGCACGTTGTAGAATTTGGGTGGCATTAAAACCAACACAGCGAGGATGTGGTGGGGTTCGAGCACTGTAGCAGCCAGGGTGCAACACAGGATCTGGAGCGAGAGGCCCTGAGAGCAGGCCCAAAGTACCATCATGGGTTCCCTCTAAACGCCCACGAGCTGGAGACGAAAGAACATTAAATGCTGTAATATAACTTGAAGATAATATTTTATTTCATGTAACAATTCTCTCCATAGGTTCAAATACATGCAGATAAAATGTTTCTAAAATAGCCATTTTCTATATGCCTAATCAACAGATAAAACTAAATTTATGGTATTTGGGAATCGTAGACTAGATAATGAACTTCAATTGAAAATTGGGGGAGCTAATATAGAACGAGTATATGAAATTAAATTTCTAGGTGTCATAGTTGATGACAAATTCTCCTGGAAATCGCATATCAGATATGTTCAGAAAAAAATAGAAAAAAATATATCGATATTGGCAAGGGTTAGATATATTTTGGACGGGAAAGCACTACGCATTTTGTATTC